CCCAGGAAGTCTAAGGTCTGCCAGCAAATGGGTCTCGGAAGAAGGCCAGGTCTGGGGATGGGCTGGCCCTCCAGGGCTGACACCATCTGTGTTTTGGGGCAGGGCCAGGGCCTGACACCTGCCCCAGGCTTCACTGTGCCCAGTATGCGGGAGGGTTGCCGGCTGCCTTGGCTTTGCTCTAATTTGTTTTTAACTCTTTTCATTTTTTGCCGACAATTGCAATGTTTATTTGGAGACTCGGAAACACAGAGCATGGAAATGATGTTACTTAATAATGCCGGGATGCTGTGTCCTTTAAGAACTGTTTGCATTGTTATTCATTGCAGAACCATTTTTTTTTATTTACGAAAGCATACATTATAGTTGTTTTTTTTAATTCACAGAAGCACAAAGGAAGGGCCATACTCTACCTGCCGAGATAATTCCTGATGATGGTATTGAGAGTTGGAGAGGAGGGGACAGAGGGAGGGAGGAGGGAGGGAGAGAGATTTCATGTATAAAACCAGAAAATTTGCACTGCACCGAAAAGAACAAATAGAGCTTACTTTCGAGGTAGAAACCAGCACCTCCTTAGGTCTCCGGAAACCCGGTGGGGCTCACCTGATGGGAATGCAAATGAGGAATGCCCTGTGTTTTTTTTTAAACTAGTAAACTTGTTGAAGGTCTTCTTTTTCTGGTTACATGACATTTTCTCCTTTCACTTTTCTCCCCCACTCCCAAACTTCTACTTTGGATGCATACCACCTTTTGGAAGCTTGAAACTAAAAATGACTTTCCTATTGATGTCCCCGTTCCTCTCACAAGCAGTGAGTCTGTCTCTCTCCTTCTGAATTCGCAATCAGGTGCCCACACCAGCACCTTCAACCAGTGGCTACTTTCTCATTTTCTGCTTTTTGCCTCTTTTAACGACAGGCACGCACGTGGCCGCCTTATGGTATTGCTCTAAAAAAGAACAAAGAGGAAAGCAAACAATGCGATGAAGAGGAAGGATTAATTCACAGCCCCGACGCCTGTCGTTTCCTTAGCTTCTGGTGCAGGAAGGAGAAAATGGGAAAATGTCTCCTTTTTCTATTTTGCTTGTTTTTCACGACACCATTAATCTCCATAAACAAGGCATGTTTTTCTTTCAGTTACAGACCGCCTAGAAAAAATGCATATGCTAAACCAGATGGGTGAAATTAATAGTTCCCATTAAACTGGTTTTAAAAATTACCGGTTTTACAATATCACCAGTGTCATCCTGGCTTTGATTTTGTGCTTGAACTTTTCTGCACAGTTAGAACTTGAACTTTAAAGAATGTGCAGAATGGAGTGGTTGCACCCTGGTTGGGTAGCTCAGTTGGTTTCTCTCTCTCTCAAATCAATAATATTTAAAAATTTAGAAACAGAGCAGTTTTACTTTAGATGTATTTTTAAAAATGATGTTCACTAGTACAGAAAATTGTTTAGATTCTTTTGCAGAGAAAATACTGATTGGTAATATTGGGGGTGAGGCGATCATTTTAATATGTAAAAGAACTAATGAAGCCTTTTCAAGCCGCCTACATTTCAGGCTGCAAAGTATTTTTGTGCTAAGGCTTAGAGCTTTGGAAAGGATTTCCCTTTTGCCCACCCCCCCTCGCCCCCCCCCCCCCCCCCCGGTTCTCCAGCAAGCCCAGCTACCTGGACATTCCCGCTATTGATTTCTGGGGTTCTGGGCCAGAGGTCGGCAGAGTAAGGGTTTCATTTGGAGGTTCATTTGGTTTGGAGTAGCTTCTCTCCTCTGAGCCCACAACATCCATGTTCGTGGGTACTCAGGCAAAACTCATCATCTTAGGGGTTGGGCAGAGCAAGTGAGGCAGGGAGGAGTCGTTAAAGAAACACTAATGTTGCCTTGCTCTGAATGTGCCTGGAGGGGCACGTATTTAAAAGTAAACATGTGAATCAGCAGAAGAAGGATTTATTTTGCACCTCCATCAGAGTGCTGCAGGCACGCGGCATGCAGTGAAGATCCGTATCCCGTCTGCCAGTGGAGGAGGATGGCATGCTCTCAGCTATGCAAAGGGAAAATCCAAAGTGAAATCTGCAGACTCCCGGTGGAGGGGGTGCTGTTATTCAGATCTGTCCCAGCAGATGAGCAGACAGAAGTGTTCAGGGGTGTTCACTACCATGTTGTTGGTTATAGCAAAACCCTGGACACAATCCAGGAGTCTAAAAATAGAGGACCGGTTAGAGCAGCGGCGCTGCTGTAGAATCCAATACTATTGAAGCTTTAGAAAGAAGGAGCTTCGGAGAGCCATAGACTGATGGTACTCATGAGACGAAGTTAATTTCTGAAGGTTGAGGGTCAGAATCTGTAGGGGCTTTGGGGGAAGAAAGTGTGTTTGTATATATGCAGCGAGGTGCACATGTAGATTATTGTCTGTGCACAGGAAACTTCTAGAAGCATGCATACCACGCTTTTTTTTTTTTAAGATTTTATTTTCATTTGCTTTTAGAGAGAGGGAGAGGGAGGGAGAAGGAGAGGGAGAGAAACATCAGCATGTGAGAGATACACCAACCAGTGGCCTCTCACACACCCCCAGCCGGGGACCCGCCCCACAACTCGGGCGTGTGCCCTGACTGGGAAGCAGACTGGCAGCATTTCCGTTCACAGGCTGCCACTCAGTCCACTTGGCGCCAGGGCACCAGGCTTTCAACAGTGTTTCTCTTCACTATTAAAGAAAGATTGGGAGAATAATTTTTAAAATTATGACAATTAGTTTGCTACTCCTGACATGAAAACATGTTGAATTACTTGATTGTTTATTTAAAAATTCTTATTTTAGCCCTGGCTGGTGTAGCTCAGTGGATTGAGCATGGGCCTGTGAAGCAAAGGGTCGCCAGTTCAATTCTCAGTCAGGGCACATGCCTGGGTTGCAGGCCAGGTCCCCAGTAGGGGACACATGAGAGGCAACCACACATTAATGTTTCTCTCCCACTCTTTCTCCTTCCCTTCCCATCTTTCTAAAAATAAATAAATAAAATATGTTTTAAATTCTTACTTTATAATTATTCTTATTAAAATACCCAGAAGCAGCAACTTTTTTCTCAAAATCTTCATTAGAATAATATATTCTGTCTGTTTACAGCTCATTTTAAAATTAGTGAAGAAAACTTTAATGGAGTTTATTGTACTTTTGAAGCAAAATCCATATAAAAATGACTACTTCTAATGATAAAAGAGTGCTATTTTGAAGTCTTCTGGGAATAAATAAGTTTTAATTTGAGAGGGGGAGAAGGATTGGGAGAGAGGGAACTTCTGTTTTTATTTTACACAAATCTGCATTGTTTGATTTTTTTTTAACAAAAGCCACTATTTCTTTAGAGATTAGAAAATACAAACAGAGGAGTAAATTCCATTTGTTCAGTAGTAGGGTGATTTTTTTTCTCAGCACTTACCACTTGGGATGGAGAGAGTAAAGGCAGATCCAGCCGCTGTCTGGGGAACCCGGGAGGGCTGGCGTGGAGAGTCGCAGGAGATGTACTTTTCAGCACCGGGTGTGGGGCGTGGGTGGGCGCCTTCCCCATAGCTCAGCCAAAAACGGCGCGTGCCACCTCTCAAGGACAGCCAGCCTCTGTGCCAGGAGGGACTGGCACCAGCTCCTAGCCAACAGCTTCGGTTTCACAGTTTCATCTGTGGCTTCCACTGGTGTCTGTGTTTAGCTTGGACCCTTGTGAGGGAATTGGACCCCTTAGAGAAATCAGTCTCAGATCTTCCCATTCAAGTTCCCCCTCCTCGGAAACTCCCCCCTCTCCATTCCCTTAAGAAGTACTCATACAATAAATCTCTTTATGGCCCCCCTGAAAGTTGATAATACTATTTCAATTTTGGATAGAATGAAGAAAATCAAAGACAAATGCTGGACATGGTTTTTAGGCAGTTAAAACTGTAGTCTGAAATAAACGAGCCATCTCTCTTTTGATGTCAGTGGTATGGTGCGATCCTATGTGGTGTTTTGTAACAGAGCACAGAAGAGAAGGCAAACATTCATTGTCTGAATTGATAAACGGAGGCGGGAATAGTAGAGACAGACTGTAGAAGACTGTAACACTTACATGATAGGGTCGTATAATGGGCTAACTTGGTCTTAAAATGGTCATCAGATTTAGGGAGGATTAGATAAGAGGAAGCATCATATAGCTTAAAGCAGTTGCGTAATGACGTCTCGACCTTGGTGGCCAGGCGCTTGTTGAGACACCTGGTTGCCTGTTGATGGGGGCGGGAAGTGGTCGGGGAAGCAGAGTTGAGTAGGAACTGGCTTTTGTGACCAGCCAAGCCGGACTCCCAGCTTGGCTCTGCCACTTGCCAGCTTTTGTCGCATTAGAGGGTTTGGTTGACCTCTCCAGGCTGCAGTCTGCTGCTCTGAAAAAAGGAGGGTGCTAATAACAGGGCCCCCCTCCCAAAATCATTTGGCTTACCTGACATAAGTCACACAAGACACCTAACACAGCATTTGGCATCTCGTAAGCCTTCGATAGAAGTTGGTTCATTCTTGTTACTGTATTTATAGAAACTGGAGGCAAAAGGTAGGGAAGCATCTCAAAATAAGTTTCTTCTGCTCAACTTTTTAGAGCAGCACAGCACCTAGGAACTATTTCTGAAATAAAGCACTCTCTTCTTCAGAGAGTCTTAGAGGGGAAGAAATTCTCTGCAAGTTGAGGTAGTCCTGATCTGGTGCTGAGTTACACCGAGTAAATTACTCTCTCGAGGCGCTGTCTCAGCTAAATAAGGCACATCCTTTTTTCCCAGGATGCTAGGCTGTCGTTTGGTGCCAAAGGAGAAAGCTATTTACAGAATGACAACATGGCATCCCCAGAGGGTTTGATTTACCTCCCCAGAAGCGGGTGTATTTCAAGGCACTGCCGAACCATCCACATTAATAACTTAGGTGGTTTAATTGGCTTTTCCCTCTTCTTCCTGAGGCCGAGTCGATCCCATGGTAATTAATCCTGTGGGCTGTGACTTGTGTTGCTTGCAGGGCCACGGCACCCGAATGAATCTCTTTTGGAAATCGGCGGGATGATATTTGAAAAGGCTGTGAAGAGACTCTCTCGCGTGGATGGTCTTCACCAAATGAGTTCTGTCGTCCCCTCCCTGATGGATTCCAGCTGCTGTGGGTATCATAAAGCATCCTACTACCTCGCAGTCTTTTACGAAACTGGATTAAACATGCCTCGGGATCAGCTGCAGGTAGAGTATTTCAGGGGATCTTGGGGTACCGATCACCCACGCTCTCTTTGCACACTGATGCTGTCCTGCCCCCGGTGGGACTGGATGAGTTCGTGATCCCAGGAATTGAATCTTGACAGTCGAGAACAACACCCTAGGGCTGTGTTAAAGACGTGCTTCTGCCTTCAGTCCTCCCTCTCCCCTCGCTGGGCTTGGGGACGTGATTTGTATATGCTAAGGGACAGTTAGGGCCAGGCTTACCAGAATCCCAGGCCTTTGGGAACAGGCGCCTCTTACCCAATCCCTATATCTGCTCTGGCTGTGGGACCATTGCCCCATGACTTGTTAGCAAGTCAAGTCATTTGGGCCTCGAAGCCAAGCGTTGCCACATCCAGCCCTCAACAGGAAAGCTGTGCCAGGCGGTTTCCTTTTCGGTTCTGGATCCAGTTGATGACATACTCGGGTAACTTTTGGAATCACGTTTGTGGAGGTACCACCGAGTGGGCCCTGATCGCCTTGTTTTCTGGCTTGTTCATCCCAAGTGTGGAGGGTCGTGCTATTTAGATGTGCCCAGGTGGCTCCATGCTCCTCGGTGACTTCTTCACACGTGACTCTGGCTTAAAGAAGCTCGTGACGGATGGCATGCTTTCCCGAGTCCCTGAGGCAGTCCCCACAAAGGTGGAATAGTCTAGAAGATTCTAGCCCTGTCTCTGCCACAAAGGGGCTGATTGGACGTGGAGCAACAACGCCTCTTCTCTGGGCCTCTGTTTCCTCAACTATGAAATAAGGTTTTTGGACCAGTCGATCTCAAAAGATGCTTCCCAACAGTAACATTCTGAGAGCGTGAGGTGGGGGCCATCTGGCCATAGGGGACATGACTGGAGCAGACCAGGGACCCTTAGAACAGTCAGCAGGAACATGAAGATACTGTGAGAGGTCCATGGAAGGCCCCCATTGTCACCGAAGAAGAGCAAAGGTCAAGGAATTTTAAGCTATCAGACATTTAGAAGGGCAGGTAGCTGGGAATCTGTAAACCTTTAGGAAGCTGCTGTACCTTCTTTTCAAGTCATGTTATTTATTGATATATTTATTTTCAAGGCATGTTAACGTGTTTGGGAATGACTGGGATTGTTGTATATAGGGACGGGGCCAGATGACCGTTTAGCAGCTGGGTTTTATGACCCTCACCTCTAATCTTGTGAACACGGTCCATTTCTTCCTAACAGGGCATGTTGTATAGTTTGGTTGGAGGCCAGGGCAGTGAGAGGCTGTCTTCAATGAATCTTGGGTACAAACACTTCCAGGGCGTTGATAACTACCCCCTGGACTGGGAGCTGTCCTACGCCTACTACAGCAACATTGCCACAAAGACGCCCCTCGACCAGCACACGCTGCAAGGAGATCAGGTAGGAAAGCCAGGCGGGAGGAAGGGGTCATGGCCCTGTTTAGTACCAGGACTTCCTGAATTTTGTCACGAAGTGTCTACACCTGTGGCCGTCCACATCCGCTGGCCTCCAGAGGATGAGTATCACTGAATGGAGAGAGACACTTTCTTACACTCCCCAGTTCGTATTTCCTGTCTGTGCTCCATCTACACAGGAGAAACTTTTCTTGAAGGGGAGGACTCGTATACAAAGGACAGATTATGATTTTGCAGGAGAATGTGTACCAGAAATGTAGGCATCTTGTCTTTATTTCATGACTGTGTGACATCGTGAGTCTAGAGATGTTAGGGGAAATTGAGTCAAATGGGCGGAACATTAAACAGAGTTCCTATCAATATGTAATGATGAAGCAGGGCCAATGATATGAGGAAGCAAACTGTCGGAGCTGTGTTCCCACTGCTGGACACCTGGAGAAGCATCTGTCCCCATCACGTGAGCCTTGCTGGTCCAGTGCGCCCGGGTGATCGACAGCATGTGATGTTTGCACTAACTCCAGTCCCTAACTTTGCAGGCCCCTAAATCTTTTTGACTCTTGGCCAAAGGTATCGATGGCTTACATCCACTCACAAGACATAATGTGTTACATTAGACCACCAATGGTTTATTTCCATAGTTGTGTGAATGACAGTGAATGAAATGGTGCAAGCAAAGGAGGCAGTGTAAGAACAAAAGGGAAGCTGCCTGCTCATGATGGAGATTTGTATCCAGGGAGTAGACCATGATGTGGTTAGTCTCTTGGAATGTGTTTTATATATCTTCTTCCTCCAGAAAGGATTTAAGATGTTTTGATGGTCTTAGCACTTGAGGTGGGCGAGTTGAGAGGAAGTGCAAGTAGTTTATGCCAGGAGGCAGCAATTTCTTTTTTCTGTAAAGGGCCAGATAGTAAATACAGGCTTTTCTGATGAGAGAGACTGTACTTGACTCTGCCAGAGACAGTGTGTGAATGAAATGTAAACTGCTTTGCCAGATTTGGCCTTGACCTAGGCCATGAACTGTTGATTTTCCCTGCTTGTGCTCAGAGAGCCTAGGAAGGGGTAGGCCTGGCTAGGTCAGGGTCGTGGAATCTTAGGCCGAGCAGCTAGTTGGGGGCCAGGCCTCTCACTGCCCCCTAGTGTGGCCCCCAGATTGAAGCCGCTTGCTCTGATGACTGGGAATGGGTGGTTTCTGGAAAAGAAATCTGCAGTGACCGCTACGTGGCCATGACATAAATGACTCAAAGACGCATGCTGTCGGTGAACATTAAACAGGACTCAAGCTATAAAACACCGAAGGCTGTAGGTATGGACATTCTAATTCCTTTACAAAGTGGTCTCTTTTGAATAAACATACACAATTTTCTCATCACCATATATAGTCCCTCTATGTATATAAGCTATGTGCAAAATTTGACCTCCATTCGACAGGAATTGATTTAATTGATAAAGATTTTTTTAAATTATTCTGAAAAACATTCATGCAAAATCAAGCCACCAGATAATATTGCCACTGCTTTACTAAGCCTGGATGTGTTAATGATGTCCTATATGTATATATTATACTTTTAAGAATTCTAATTTAGCATAAATTAGCGACAGGAAATGGTATGTTGCTAACAAGCTCCTTTTCTTTTGAAGATTTGACACATGAAACGTTATGATTATGAAAGAAAATGTTTAATTGGTCAGAACCGGCAAAGTTGAATAGCAAAGATCCATCTTGCAGCTGAAAAGTCGTATGATTAAGAATGCCAGATACAAATTACACAGTTAGAAGAGTGGTATCATAGCTCATTTTCTTAAGAATGTGTAATTAATGGCTTCTTGAGACTCTAAGCAGGTGTCATACGTTGACGTAAATGTCCTTTTGCTGAGAAATCTATTAATTCACCAGCAGCACGCAACAGACGAGGAGACAGCGGAGGCCAGACCGCTAATTAGCGAACCGAGATCTGTCAGGCGTTCTTTTCTTGATTCTTGTTTCATTTTCTCTTTAATGTAATGTGTACATGGCATCACTTCATCTTCTTTATTAGCAATCTGACTTCGTATCACTTCTTTATGATTTCGTGGGACTCTGCCTCAGGTTAAAGAGAAAGAAGATGCTCTCAGGTTGTGTTTGTTTTTGTGGCTTAATCACAAAGGAGCTCCTCTCCTCTCCACTTTTCAGAACTTGCTTTTCCTGCAGGATTTGGGCCTCAGCCTCCTCTCCACACCTGCTAGAGGGCAGGGGTCTCATCTCCTCTGCACCCCTAGTTTCAACTGTCCTCCAGGTCTGATAACACTCAGCCCTTCCTTTCCAGCTGAGCTATTGCCACAGCTCACATCAGCACTCAGAGCGTGATGCAGAGGAAACCCAGCATTTCCTGCTCCTGTTCCCCACAAGCACCTTAACTGATGGCACCATTTTCCACGCTGGCCACTAGGCTGGCATCTTAGACACCCCCATTATCCTAATCAATGGCATCCCCAACAGCTTCCCATGACACTCAGTCCCTTCCATCTCCATCCCTGCCGCCGCAGCCTGCATTTGTCCTTCGTCGTCTCTCCCCCAGCTGCCACGGCAGTCTCCTGTTGGGGGCTGAATTGTGTTCACCACCCCCCACCCCCGCGATTTACATGTTGAAGCCGTTACCCCTAGTATCTGAGGATGTGGCTGTATTTGGAAATAAGGCCTTTAAAAAGGTAATTAAGTTATAAATGGAGTCGGTATGACTGGTATCCTTACACGAAAAGGAGATTGGGGCGCAGACACGACAGACTGAAGGAGGAACGTGTGAGGACACACGAGAAGGCAGCAGCCGCCTGCGTGGGAAGGAGAGAGGCCTCAGAAGAAAGTAAACTTGCCAACACCTTGATCTTGGACTTAAGCCTCCAGAACTGTGAGGAAATAAATGTCTGTGGTTTAAACCACCCAGTCTGGGACAGCCCTAACAAGCAAGTATACCTCCTAACTGGTCTTTCTGTCACCGGGCTTGTCCCTTCCCATTTTCTTCTCCCAGAGGCCACAGTGAGCCGTTGACGGGAGATTCTCAACCCGCCTACGCATCAGAATTACCTGGTGGCTTAGAGAACACGTCTGCCCCAGAAGTGAGGGTGGGGCTCAGGCGTATAATCTTCCCTTGTGCGTATTCGTGCAGGTGTCTGTTTTAAAAGCCCCTCAGAGGATCACAATGTGCAGCCGGTGCTGAGAAGGCCTGACCCAGCAGCACTCAGTCCAGCCCGTCACTGGGCAGGGGAGGTGCCCCTTGACCTGGTCTCTCTCTGTGTCCGCAACCTTGGCTCTCAGCCATCACATTCCTGGCATGCCCACCCTGGAGAAACCAAGCCTCTGGCCACACCTCCCAGCCCCGCTGGCTGTCCTCTGCCTGGTGTTCATTCTTCATGCCCACCCGCCGTTCCCTGCCTGCTGACCCCTGCTCCTACTTGAACTCAAGGCTCACACTTCACCTCCTCCTCCTGATCTCCCCTTTGCCGTGAGGCCAGGCACCTCCCTGCCATTGGTCTTATGATGGGTATTGGGTACAGGGTCAAAGGTACGGCTTCTTCACTAGACTGTGAGCTCCGAGATAGGCATCTTGTGTATTCACATGAGTGACCCCTTTGCCCAGCACTGTGCTTGGCATAAAGTTGGTGCTCAGTGTTTACAGACGGGATGATGGACAGGCTGGAAGTGCAGCGCATCCAGTCCAGTGATGGACATAAAGGGATTGCAATTTCTTGTCGACTCTGGTGCTTTGTGATGCGACCAGTGTCCATTGTTGATGGCCAGTACCCAGAGCATTGGCTGCAAACTCTGCCTCTGTTGCACTAATACTTCCTTAGTAAGCGGCACCCCCTGTTGGGGAATCTTGGGTACTTGCTTTCCTGTCTTTCTGTGTTACTGCCGATATTTCCCCATTCTTACTTTAAAATCCCTTGTTAAACTTCAACAAAGAACACACACCTGCCCCCACTGGGAGCCAACCATCATAGCTGATTCTAATACACACACACACACACACACAAACCCCTCTCCTGGCTCCCTAGGCACCTAATAGCGGTTCCCGCGCCCCGGAGGAAGTTAGTGGGGGTAGGCAGGTGGTCTAAGCAGCAGCTCCGAACAGGCCCTGCTCCCGGGTTCCCAGGCTGGCGCCGGTCTACATCACAGCTCCAGGGAATGCAGAGGCCCTGGAAGAGGGGGCGCTGCCGAGGGCTGTGCTCCCCAGCTGTAAAGTTGGAGGGTCTTTCCTTCCTGCCCTGTCTCCCATCCTCTTTGTCTGTCTGTCTCTCCTTCTCTTTCTCTCTCTCCCCACCTTCTATTTCCCTCCCTCTCTCTTCCTCTTTGTTTTTTCTTCCCCCTTTCCCCTCTCCCTTCTCTATCCCTGCCTCACATTCTTCTCTTTCTCCCTCTCTCCCTTCTCTTTCTCTCTCCCTTCGAAACAGTTAAAGAGAAGAAGGAAAACAACTCAAAATCCAAAGTCTCCAGTTAAACAAAAAAACTTGTCACGGAGAATTCTAGTTTGGGAGCATCTCAGGTTTCAGCCCATTGCAGGCTCACCACTGGCGACCGCGTCCCGTGGAGCTGGAGCTGGAGCCGGAGCACCACTTGTTGGCCGTGCACTTGGCAAAGAGTTGACAAGTGGCTTGTGCCCAGGCAGGATTCCAGGGGCTTCTCCCTAAAGGACATTGTCGGGGAGCTGCCCAGAGCCCTGTCTTTGGGCTCAAGCCGACTTGGCTTCCAGGGCCGGCTCTACATCGTGACCTTGTTTGAGTTCATGGTTTCGCCTCCTGCGCCTCAGGCTTTTTTCTTGGTGTATAAATTGAGGACAGTGGTATTTGGGTTGCAGCCCTGTTGTGAGGACTAAGTGGGGGGAAACACTTGTTAAACACCCAGCACATAGTTGGTTTCAATAAAAGGTCATGGGCATCATTATCATTATTCTTTTTTTTTTTTTTAGAGATAGGGCAAAGAAGGGAGAAAGAGCAGAAGAGAAACATCAATGTATGGTTGCCTCTTGTGCACCCGCTCCTGGAGACCTGGCCTGCAACCCGGGCATGTGCCCTTGACTAGGAATTGAAGTTTGCAAGCCAGTGCTCAATCCACTGAGCCACGCCAGCCAGGGCGGGCATTATTATTCTCATTGTTGCTCTTGGGTTGGAGGTTTCCCATTAGACACCCAGCAGGAATTAATACCCTCTGGGTTCTGAGTCCTCACAATGTCCCCAAGTCTCAGTGCCCTTGTGGCCCTGAGAGGGACCTCCGGCTCCACATGTCCACAGTGGACAAGGCGGCTGGAAGACCTCCTCAGGAATGGGGTTGTGCACTAGAGTTTGTGAACCTGAGTGCTTTCCTTAACTAACAGCAGAGAGGTCCGCAGGGAAATCAGCTCCTCGTTCTCCGAGGCTTCTTTCCCGAACTCTCCCCAAGCCAATTTTCCCACCATCTGCTTGCAGCTGCGCTGGCACAGGAAGCCCTTCCCGGGACCCCTTGTGGCCCTTTTAGGTGGGATTCACTGTGCATGAGGGGGACTGTGAGACAACAGGACTGCTTTTTTGATAAGCAGCCAAAATTTATACTTCAAAATGAGTCTTATTTCCTTCAGAGGAGTCGGAGACCCGGGAGGCTGTTCACGAATTTGCATATTTTGTGAACTTTCCCTTTGGGTTCGTCTACAGCTCCTCTGAGCACGTTCTCGATCGTGTCCTCAGAGTTAACAGGCCCTCTTCTTTGCGAGGGGGGTTTAATTTTTGGAAATGGCCAAAAGGCATCTGAAGCAGAGCCTGCTGAATCAAAAGGGTTAGTCATGCAGGATAATAACACTTTGGGATAAAAAATAAGGTTATACTTAGAAAATATTGATTTACCTTTTCTGATGCTATGTATAGTCTGGCTTGGAAATCAGAGGCACAGAAGCTGACTTCTGAACAAGCTTAAACAGTAGAAGTAGAAGTGGAATAAATGTTGCCCTCCCAAGGCATATGCTTTCATAGGAACAAAGATACTCATGTAGATACATTGGATGTGATGCATTGGCTTAAAAATTTTTTTTGATCTGATGGTACAGTGGACACCCTTCGTATTTCAGTTATTCATATAGTTTTCCCCTGAGCAATTTCTGACTTAAGAACAATGTCTTATCTTTTGCATGCCCATATCATTTAGATGCTTTCTATCTCCCTTCTTCTCTCCCTCCTTTCCTTGCTTCCTTTCTAGGCCTATGTTGAAACCATTAGACTAAAAGATGATGAGGTACTCAAGGTACAAACCAAAGAAGATGGAGATGTCTTTATGTGGCTGAAGCATGAAGCTGCCCGAGGCAACGCGGCAGCGCAGGTAAAGACGGGGCCCACCGTCTTGGAAACCCTGTCGTGGTAGGACAGGTTATGCCGTGCCAGCGACCTCCCCCAGGCCGCAGTGGCTAAAATTGGTGCTGGTTCATTTCTTGCTCCCGTGACCTGTCCGGTGGGGGGTTGGCATGGGCTGTGCTGCCGTCGTCACCTAGGAGCCCAAGCTAACGGAGCCTTCATCAAAACACATGTTTCTAAAACCGATACAGCAGGCTGAGGGCTGTGGGACCTCCCACGCTGGCTTCTAACGCTTCTGCTCAGAAAGAGCACAGGTCACCCCTCACGTTTCATTGGCCAGAACAAGTCCTTGGTCACTGTTGACTTCGGATGGCCTGCAGTGTAGTCCTGCCCTGACCCCAGAAGGACAAAGAGCCACAGTACTTACGGCCAGTCCAGAAGGCTGCCAGTGGACATTAGTGCACAAGATAGAAAGAGAAAGAAGCGTCTGGGGTGCAGGAGAGAGCAGATGGGCATCAAGAAGGCCATGTTCTGGCTGAAATAATAGAAATCCATGTGCCGAAAAGATCGACCCTGTCTCTCAACCATGTCTTTTGGGGGGACTTTAAAAGGGTACTAGAAAGGGCAGGAGACTGGAGAACATGCTCTGTCTGCCCTTTGGCCTTGATTTCACAGTGAAGAAGAGCCCCTGGTGGGAGTTGGGTAAGGCTGATTGCGCCGGGGCGGGCAGGGGGGCGGGGGTCCTCCTTCCCAAAGGATCTAGCTTTGCCTTCATGCTGTTGGTGAGCACAGTGTCGTGAAGGGCCCCTGGGGCTGCTAGGCAGGCAGAAAAACCAGAAATGGAAAGAGAAAGAAAACAGAAGAATAAACACATCGACAAGCACTCATTTCAGACCCTCTAGTAACAGGTCTCCTGCCCTCTGTGGAGGTCTCCCTAGCAACTCAGGGGATACTTTGCTGGAGGTGCAAGCACTCGCTGGAGTTGGAGGGAGGAGGGAAGGAAGAGAAGGAGATGAGAGAAGAGACAGGAAGGAGACGTTCAGGGGCCTGCATGGGGCCAGGATGTTAACGGATGTTCCCTCTGGCTCCGTTCTTGGGCATCTGTCCTTAGCCTGTATGCTTTCTAGTGCAGGAAGGAATTCCAGTGTGTGGTTCTGGAAAGGCCACTGCCAGGGCTCCGTCCTGGGTGCTCCAGAGCCTGCATGAACTTCCCTAGTCACGGGCACTTCTTCCTTCCTTCCTTCATTCAGCAGATCTTTGTTGAGTGGTTTCTGTGAGCTCTGCTGGGTGGAGGCCGAGGGGACAAGGGCAGGCCAATCACTTCCTGAGGTTTCTACCCCCAGAGGGCTCCCAGCCTCAAGTGTAACTATGGAGACGGCTGTGTGGACAGATGCTGGGTCAGGAGGAGATAAATGCCGTAGAAAGATGCCCTAACGGCTATGGATGTGCACAGACCTCTCCGCAGTTCACTGGGCCACAAGGCCGGGCAGCACCTCTCAGAGAAGAGAGGAGAGGAGACAGCTGTGGCTGTCTTCATCCAGCTTTGGCCCTGGGTGCAGTTGATGCATTCACACACATGGACACATACCTACAAGCACGCACGCACACACCGATGCACCATTTCCAGCTTGCGTTAAGGACTTGTATTTACACAGGTCCACCTTCAGGGCTCTGGCTCCGGTTGGAAGATTACATGTATCTGCCTCATTCTTGGTTCTCAATATGTAACCATTCTAAGCCAGGTTTGTCCTCCCACCTTTCAAAACTTTATGTTAAGCATTGCACAGGAAAGTCACTATTCTGAACTGTTGTCTTGAAGCAACGACTGGCCCAGATGTTGTTCTGGGGGCAGCAAGGCGTGGCCAAGAATCCCGAAGCGGCCATCGAGTGGTACGCCAAGGGGGCCCTGGAGACCGAGGACCCTGCGCTGATATACGACTATGCCATTGTGCTGTTCAAGGTAAGAACCACTCACCGGTGCTGAGGCTGTGCAGTTCTCATGCAACTTCTGAGCAGTTTCCTGGAGGCGTGTGGTCACAGAGGGAGCCTGGGACTGAAGAACCTCAGTGTACCCTGCCGTCACTCTTAATGAAGAGGGATATTTGCTGAACAGGCAGAGTAGGAGGAGGTCCCCTGGTCTCGTTTTTGATCATGAGTCTTATGTTAGGCACCTGGATGCTCTTTGCTTTTGCGAGCGCTGTGGCATTCTGCAGGAGACACCGGAGTCCATGGACTGGTGCATGGCCGCCAGCCCCCAGAGGTGCTGCGGTGTTGCCACCAGCTGCAGTTGCCACCAGGCGGTGTTGGCATTCAGTCACAGCTTAAAGTGCCTGTTTGGGCTCAATCCCAACCATCTCTGTTGGTCAAACAAAGACCTTGGTTTTAAGCCAACAGAAGAATAGGGGGACAGGTGGGAAGAGCATTAGCCCAGGACACAGGATGGAGTTCAAGCCCTGCTTCTGCTGTGTCCTTGGAGTTGTGTGATCCCACGGGACAACAGTGATGACCACACATTGAATGAAATGACATAATGATTGGGCTTTGAAAACTATAAAACACTGCGTTTTATACAAAATAATGGTTGTTCACCGTGATCGCCCGAGTGTTTATTACCTGATTTACATGTGTGAACCATTTAATCCTCACAACAACCTGGCAAGGTGGGCACAGCTGGTATTATGACTGTGGTTTATGTACGAGGCAACGGGGCACAGAAAGGTTTTGTAACTTGCCCAAGGTTGCACAGCTAGTGCTTTGCAAACCCGAAACTTAGATCCAGGCAGGCTGGCTTCAGAGTCTGTGCTTCTCACTCCCAAACACAAGATATCAACTCACCAATCCTGGAAAAGGGAAAAGCTGCTGGCGCTGGCATGGAAACCCCTAGACCCGTGTTCGTACCCAAAGAGAGCAGCTGCCCCCACGTGGCAAGTGTCTTCAAACAAAAGCACAGGTTCCTGTGGCCAGGCCCAGCTCCAGAACCACAGCTGTGGCCCTCACTGATTAACAGCCATGACTTTTGCTACGTTTCTAACCTTCCAAAGCTTTAAAACCTATTGGTGGTTATGGTTTCCAAATTTATGGCCTGGGCTTTCTCTTTCCAGTTGTCAAATCAACATAGAAATGGTTTGACTCTTAGCCATATGCCAATGCATTCATGTATTTGTTTGATAAACACCCATTCGGTCTGAAGAAATGCCAGACCCTGTGCTAGATGGCGGGACATGTGGGCACATGAGTCATGTTCCCACCTCTGGGGGCTTGTGCACTGATGGGGAAGACGGGACAGAGACTGGCACCTGTCCCCGGAGCCAGGGCTGGCTGCCCCCCAAAGCGTGTGATTCAGACACTACCTCTGCCCACCAGGAACTCGCGGTCCAGAGGGAGAGGCAGATACACACATCAGATGCTCTGCGGAGGACGTACTGTTTCCTCAGGGTCTGATTTCCTCAACCCAAAAGCTTTTTTGATTTTCCTGCCTTTTAGCTAAGGTGTTCCTAAGTGGGATGAGGGAAGCCCTTGATCAGCCTTCAAGGGAAGATCTGTACCCCTCTGGCCAGAAGGTCTCTCTGAGTGTATTCCATGTGAAAGAGCCCCACGCGGAAAACGGGCTTTCCAAATGTAGAGAACAGGAATGTGCATTGGCTTATTGTATTGTGAGGGCATTCGGCTTATTGTGCTCAAACACGGTGCCACAGTGGCAGCGGCGGTTTGTCCAGGACAGTCAAGTGCATCCCGCTTTGCATCAGCACGAGGATGGAGCGTTGACTTCACCGCACAGCTGTCCTCAATGAATGTGTTCAGTGAACATTAATTACTGAGCACGTGCCTTGTGGTACCAGGACCTTACATCTCTCTCACTGAACGACTTCCAGTACTGCTCAGACTTGAGTATAATGCGTAGTCTTTGTGCAAGACATCACCCCTCTTCTGATTCAATAGCAAATGCACTGGACAAGCCCTGCCTAGAAATCAGCATCTCTGAGTTCTCGTTGCAGATCTGACCCTGAGGTTTGGGATAAGTCAAGCTCGCTGAGCCTCAGTTTTATTTCTTCAAAATAAAGAAGTTGGAAAAGGATGAAGGCTACACTTTGGGTTGACCATTCAGTGGTCTCGGTGCTTTTTCAGAAATCAGAAAAGCTTGTCCCAGGGGCACCTCCAGTTATTCCAATGTCCTCATGTCCTCTCCTCTCTCCTCCCCCTCTCTAATTAAATGAAGTAATGATGCACCTCTGAAAAATATCTTCTACTTTGCTTCAGCTCATTGGTTTTATTAAATGGGTAAGTTAAAGTCTAACAGAAACTCGGTGTATGTAATTTAACCTTTAGCTGGATTTACAGTTTTATTTTGGGTCCTGAAAAATACAGAGACAAACATACTCTGCATGTTTTCTGCATCCTGCCAGGAGGTTATGAATCGTCACACTATTTCTGCATACAGCTGAAATGGACAGGGGAAAACATAGCGTGGGGATTATAAGCTTGGACTGTGGAGCCCACCAGCCTGGGTTCAAATCCCAACTTTGCTTCTCGCTGTGGAACTCTGGGCCATTTTCTCAGATGGGACTGAGGGCAGGGTTGTTGTGAGGATTAAAAATGACAGGCTAGTGCTTGACCCCCGTTAATTAATACAGGAATGTTCACTATTGCTGTCTCATTTACTATAAAGCCAAGTATTTACATAATTGGAGTTAAAAGCTGGATCCATTGCAAAGCCTGCTCACCTTAGAGTACACGTGACCCCATCGACCACCATGTCTGAGACCAGGACTCCGTGGGGCACTCGGTGGGGGGATGTGTGTTCATCACGGACTCTGGGTGAGTTTGGAGGAAGCAGCGATTCTCACCTGGCTCCCCCTGCCTGCCATCCTGATGGTCAGACCCATGTCCTGAGAGACCCAGGGGACCCCCTCCCTCCCCACGTGGTCCCACAGACAACCCGGCGTGGTCCCGCAGAACTTCTCTGTGGTAACAAGAACCCCAAGGCCATTTCTTTCTGTGGCACACAAAACACTTCTGCAAAAAAGAACCTGATGCTGCCGGAGGAACTTTGTCGGTTTTTGCCTGACACAGCCAATTCCAAGGGGTCCCAACTCCTTCAGAGGTGGCTCTCAACAGTGTTTCACCCTGGGGGCTTCAGTGAAGACCCAGGGAGGCCGCAGACAGCGCCTGACAACTCTGGCCTGTGGACGCAGATAAAGTACTGTGTCTGGCAGCAAATTAGATAATCCCCAGAGCAACCCATCCAAGGTGCCCAAACTCATTCAAGCCTGTTCTCAGCTTCTCCCAACAGCACCTGTGGGCTGATGCACAGGCGAGTCACTTAATGATGACTGGGGACTTGTGTACGGATGCTAAGCTGGGAGGCTGAGGTTCGTGGCCTTGGCTCCACAGATATAAACAAAACGATGATGACGATGACAATGTAGAGCACTGCTTATAGGGATTTTTAACATTTGGTTTATAATTAAGAAGCCTTGGGTTTTATTTCTAAGTTCTTTTGTGTCAAACTTGGGCCTATCTGTGTGGTATTTTTGAGTGCACACTGGGTTCGTTCTGTTTGTAATCATTGCTGTTTATCATTGTTTAGGGTCAAGGAGTGAAAAAGAACAGACGGCTTGCCTTGGAGCTGATGAAGAAAGCAGCATCCAAGGTAACACTTTCGCATATTGTCAGAGGAAAACATTTGCACCACATACACCCACTCCAGAGAGAACACGGCCAGCGTCTCCCTACAAAGCACCAAGGTAGACACGGAGAGGGGTGGGAGGGGTCACCAGAATGGCAACACTGGTCTTTTTTAGAGCTACACACGCACAGAAACCCGCCACAATGGGAACAGCAGAATTCAAAAGCTGTATTCACCTCCAGTCAATAGAATTCAGGCCAATTTTGTTTGAAGGCTAAAATTATAATCAAGGCTGCCCTGATAACAAGCCGCGGGGGCTCCTTGAAAGTAAATGGATATAAATGCCATTGAATTAGGAAAACCAAAAGCCTAATTCCCTGGAAGGTTAACCCTGCCACGTCCATGCCTGTGTGCTTCTCTGTGCTTGAATAATGGGGCTGTTTATCGGGTTTATTACTGGGTTTAAACATTGTTTTGCTTTTGTCACTATTTACTCTTCAGTGTAGTCATCAAGCAGCTAGTTTCAGCACAGCGCTAGAGAACAGAGGTTATAATGTCGCTTATGAGGAGGTACACATGCTCGCAGACATACGCAGACATGGTCCTGTGTCAGGCACATGCCCCATGCATGCATGTGCGCATGCGTGCACTCACATGCATGCATACAGATTTGCAAATAAATAAGTTTTGTAGGAACTATTGTAATGTTACACCTCAGCAGGCCCTGTATAGCCCTTCTGGCTCGTGAATGTGGCTCCGCCCCAAGGATGCCTTGGTTCCTGAAGGAACCTGGCTGGGCTTCCTCGTTCGCCTTCTTTAGGGAGCTCAGAGTGCATTTTTCTGGAGTAGTAGGAGTTGGAGCATGGAGTGAGCGAGCCAAGAGGCTTCCCTGTGTCTGGAGGGCATGTGACCCAGGAGAAGGCAACCCACTGAGGTGCCCACCAGCTCTCGACCCCAACACAGATTCTAGGCAGAGCCAGAAAAGCAGCTGAATTTTGGTCGTGGGAGGCGTTGGTTTCAGAGCACCCTAAAATGGGCCAGGGGTGGGATTTCCTGGCAGGTGTGAAATTTGCATCTCTTTAGCCATTCTGGTGGTGAATTGGTGTCTGATGTGCTGTGTGTTTGCATGTATTTTTAGCAGGGCTTAGATGAGTATTGAGGCAAATGCAGTTTTATGGCCTGGAGTAGTCACATCCTGGAAAGTGTAAATGGTTCTCAGTCATTCATGGAGGAGGGAGCTGTGAAGCCCCTACTCTTCGCCGGGCCCTGTGGAGAAGGTTGCACACAGTTTCATTTTTGGAATGAGCCGGAAATCACTTGGAGGCAGATCTGTCGATCAAGCAGTGAAGTCCAGAACAACGGATGAGAACTTAAGAAACAAAACAAGATTTCTTGCGGGTTCCTGAACTAGGTCCAAACGCAGCTCATCAAGGAGTTCTGCGGACAGCGTGGGTGACGACAGGTACATTGGAATGAGCCGTGGCCTCTGGACGTAAGCGCTGCGAAAGCCATTTGGATGTGTCCGCCCTGCACGTTTGTTCCAGAGCCGGCTCTGGTCTCTCTGTAGTATGGCCTGGTCTCTTACACCATTGAAACTTCCTCATTCTGCAAGACCTATCAGGAGTTGGCCTTGCACCTGGTGCTGTGTGACTGAAGCTCAAGAAAAACGCTTCTGTGACTGGATCCGTGACACAGACTCGGTCCCAAGTGTCCGCTGTCTTGGGGGCCTGCAAATCCGAACCCTCCTCTGGCTCCTCAGGGTGTTGGCTTTGGGTTCCAATTTGTTGAGCATTGGCATTCAAAGGGTGGCTTTCGTTCATTCGTCAAATACTTATGGAGTGCTTACTCTATGCCAAGCACTAATGTTGGTGCTTGGGGCACAAAACAAAGGCCCCTGCCCTCATGGAGCTCCTGTGTGAATGGGCTTTGCCAGTGTTGTTACCAGAGAGACTGCAAGATCTTGGTTCTTGTCTTCCTGAAGGAAAGATTTCAGTCGAGAGACAGCGCAGCACAGCAAGCAGGCATTTGGCCGCAGCAGAAGCACACACAGGGCTGTGAAACAGGGAGGGCTTGGGTAGAAGAAGCAACAGGAGAGCCCAGGCAGGGCTGCTCACCGGGAAGTCAGAGAAAAGGGGGCCTTGGAGATGGCTTCAGGGGGTTAGCCTGGGAGGAGCTGCCTGCTGCTGCCCATTGTCCCCTGGCTGCAAGTCTTGTGGGGACCCTTGGAGTTTAGGAGACACATGCCTGTGGGGGAAGAAGAGGAGGAAGGGAATGGTGTGGGGTTGCTCCCCAGAGGGAGAATGCACACTGGGTCCTTTGTCTTGGGGGTTTTCATCTCCCCCTTGCAGGTGGGAACCTTAGGGGAGGTCCCAGGGGTGGACCTCAGTAGAATATTAACCAGCTCTCCAGGTGTGTACTTTCAGGGTCATGGTCTCCATTGAATGGCTGCTGCCAGGACAGGGGGTTATTAGTCAGTGCAGCTGGTCCTGGGGTCTGAAATACAGCTGAGGCCTAGATGTTGTCTTTAGGAAGGAAAGGTCAGGGGTCTAAACCTCATGACCAGCGATATGCTGGGGAGGGGGAGGGAATGGTTACCCTGGGGGCGAGATCCAGTTTTATCCATTGTTAGGCACCCGGGCCTTCCCCGCTGGTGACCTTCTGTCCCTGGCCCATCATCCTTGCTCTGTGCATGTCTAACTGCCTCCCACAGTTTTTCCTCCTTGTCTCCCTGGAACCTGGACTCCAAAGACTAGGAGGTGAGGCCTTCAGGAGCTGTGCCAACTGGAAAGGCTGCAGGCTGGGGCCTTGGCATCTGTCGTTGAGGGACACACCATGGCCCCTTGTGAGAAGAGAGGTGGAAGAAACTGGGTTCCACACCTAGGCTCTGACTTACCAGCCCTCACATATGCGAGGGCACTGTGTGCCCCTCTAATCCTTTCTCGCTGCTTGTTCACAGTCCTGTGCTTCTGGCAGGGAGGGAGGAATGAGCGCTGTGTGCCCAGGTTGGCAGATGCACCCCTGCAGGGCACCTGTGTCTTCAACAAGCAGAGAGGAAGCTGCCGATGGAAGCAGGTGGGAGCCCCTGGGGACAGCAGAGGCTCCCACCTGAGAGCGTTCAGTGAAGGCAAGGAGGCTCGAGGCTAGAATCCCATGAACCAGCCCTGCAGGTTCAGACACGGTTCTGAACCTGCCCCCTTATCCCCCACCTTCCCCTTCTGCCTCAGCCCTGAACTGGGACGCCAGGCAGTCCCAAATCACCTGTACTTTGCAGGTAGGATGTTGCAGCTGCTTCCTTCAGAGGATTTGCTGGTGTTTGGGACAGAGTCATCAACAGATGGGCTGAGAGGTCACCTCGAAACTGTGCCTGTGGCCACCAGGGCAGGTTTCAGGCTGCCTGTCGCAGCTGAGCGCTCATGGATGTCAGGGCACTGTTGATGCTGCAGGACCATCGGAGGCTTTCTGTAGACAAGGGCATCATGTCAGAGCCTAGAGGGGCTGAGGGATGGTCTGGGGGCCGGCATCCCGGCAGCCACCACGGGAAGTCCACCTGGGAGCACCCTGAGGCGGGCTCGTATGTTCAGACACTTAGCTTTTCTCTAATGCCATCTGCCTCAGAAAAGAGACAGGAGAGGTTTTGGTCACACTTGTGCAGAATGCTTTCATGACAATGAATTCTCTTTAGGGTTTTTTTTTTTTAAAGTAATTTCTTTCTTGTTGTTCTAAAATCCAGGGATTGCATCAGGCAGTCAATGGTCTAGGATGGTATTACCACAAATTCAAGAAAAATTATGCCAAGGCAGCCAAGTACTGGTTAAAAGCAGAAGAAATGGGGAACCCGGATGCTTCCTATAACCTTGGAGTCCTGCATTTGGACGGTGTTTTCCCAGGAGTCCCTGGAAGGAATCAAGTGAGTAAGACTTGAGACACACTGGGCAGCTGGTGGGTCACTTGCTCATGAAGTCTTTGTGAGGGTGTACTGTGTGCCCTGCCCGGACCAGGCCTGTGGTGTCCCAGACAGCACCCAAGACACAGACCAGGTTCTCAAAAACTGAAGGGCCCCGTTAGGAACATAAGATAGTGAATTTAGCCAGGTGTCAAGTGTGTGCTAATTGATATGACCCAAACAGTTCTGGAAGGGGGAAAGTTGAAGGTCAAAGCAGTCAGGAAGGCTTCCTGGAGGAGGGAGGCTTGAGTTAAAGAGGAGGGGGAGATGATACGAGGTGAGAATGAGCGAGAAACCAAGAGGCAGTGTAAGATCCATCCTACTGGAAGAGAGCTGGGTTCAGATTGGGTGGCCTGAACAGATTTAAGAACGATGAAAGCAGCAGAGATAATCTTTAGTGTAGGTTGAGCACCTCCCCTAAGCCAGACACTCACAAAGGGTTTATGTCCCGCATCATCTTACCTACCTCTGGAGTGTTGCTATAAATGGACTGTTATTAAGCCCATTTTACAGAATAAGCAACCAGGGCTCTGAAAGGCATGGGACTTACACACTTGTCAGAGTCAGGATCTGGATCCCAGTGTAACGTGGAGACTCCTGGTCATTAATAATAACATCGAAGATGATGACAATGATCAGAGCACCATCGCATTTAAAAAATTCATTGAATGCCCACCCAGGGCCAGGCGCTCTTCCAGGCCCTGGGGACACAGCAGCAGATAAAGTAGTCTCTGCTGTTAGGAAGCATACATTCCAATGGGGAAGAAAGGCAATCAGGTGTTAAATATATAATATGAGGGTGTTGTGGGGAGAAATAGAGCAGGAGTAGGAGGGCAGGGAGGGTAGAGATTGGGGGATGCTGTTTTAGAAGGGAGATCAGAGAAGGTCTCTCTAACAGTGTGACGTCGTATAAGCTCCTGAAGGACTCTTGTGAATATCTGGGAGAACATTCCAGAAAGAGGGAACAACCACGGCAAAAGCTCTGAGAATAAGCTCGAGGAGCGGCGGGGAGGCCAGAGTGGCAGGAGCAGAAAGCAGAGGAGATGGGGAGGTGGGGGACGAAGTCAGGGAGGCAGGTGGCCGGGTCTTCGGGATGACTCAGCCATTCTGAGCGAGATGGGAGCACAGCTTTGCAGTGGGCGGGATGCAGTTTAAAAGGCTCTCGGATACCAGCAGAAACCAGGCTTGCAAAAGAGAGAGAGGCGGGTGGGTGGTTAACGCATCGAATCCAAGTGAGAGAGGATGGGCCATGTCACAAGAGGGGCCGAGACGTGACTGGATCCTGGATATATTTTGAAGGTCAAGGTGATGAGGTTTGCTGATGATTGGATATGCGGTGTGAAAGGGAGTGAGGAATCAGGAACACTCTGGAGCATCTGGCATTTATTGAGATGGAAAGAACAGAGGGGCATTTATGGGATGGGCAGCAGCCTATCCGGGGCGGGGTAGCAGATTATTTTTCGTGAAGCGCCATGCTAACCCTGAAGAACTCGTTTTCTCATTTAGTCCTCACAACACCTTTCATGCTTGGTTTTATCCGACACCACATTTTTCAGCTAAAAAAACTGAGTTAATTTCTCAGGTGGAGAGATCAACTAATACACCCAAGGTCACTCAGCTAGTAAGAAACACAGCTGGGATTTGAACCCAAGCCTGCCTGATTCCAAAGCCCATGCTTTAAAAATGTCAGTTAGCCTTGGCCAAGTATCTCAGTTGGCTAGAGCATCGTCCTGAGACGCCAAGGTTGTGGGTGTGGTCCCTGGTCAGGGCACATACAACAATCAACCACTGAATGCATAAATAAATGGAACAACAAACCGATGCCTCTCTCTCTCTCTCTCTCTCTCTCTCACTCTTCCTTTCTCTCTTAAAAAAATCAATAAATAAAAACAAAAATAAAAAAAAAACATCAGTAACTGCCTCCGAAAAGTAATAGTCATCAGCGGAGCATATGTCGAAGTGTTTCATTTTCCCTCTACCTCTCTGACTACGTGTGAGGCTGTGTATTTCTGTGCGTTGCAAAAACCCTCCCACACATCTGGGAACTCGGGTTTTTATTGTTGCTTCCTAATTCTCACCTTCCTATTGGAAATGTAGTCTTTGTGCACAAGTTTGGAGAAAGGTCTTAAGCAAGGTTAGGAAAGCAAATGCCTGCGTTTTCACCTGGCGTGACTTCTGACGCAGCCTTCTCTCTTGCTGGCAGGGGTTACATGAGGACGAAATGAGGTGGCAGTGATATTCATAGTTACATGGTGTCCTACTTGTGGGGCAAGCCTCATCAACAGGCTAGCTGTGGTCAAGGTTATCACCTCCAGAGGCTGGCATCTGTGATTGGCTGTCTTCCTTGAACTTGACTTGGTTTTCTTAAAGATATCAGAAGCTATAAGCCTGTGAGAATATGCTGGCTCTGCTGGAACCAGCCCAGCCAGGAGGGCTCCTCGCGGAGGAATGACTCTGCTTTCATCTTTTCTCTTGACAGACTCTAGCTGGCGAGTATTTCCATAAGGCTGCACAAGGCGGACACATCGAAGGGACCCTGTGGTGCTCTCTCTACTACATAACGGGCAACCTGGCAACATTCCCTAGAGACCCCGAGAAGGCTGTCGTGTAAGCACCCACCAGATGTTGTGTATGAAGGGAAAGGCATCTGTGGTCGTGCCCCCTACTCCTCGGGGAATGTGTCCCAGGACCCCCAGTGGATGACTGAAACCATAGATGGTACCGAACCCTGTAGAAAATGTTCTTTCTATACATACAGACCTTTACACTCACAGGGAGCACTTTACAGCTCCTCTTTGGCTTCCCCGAATCGCCAGCATCACCACTCGTGCTTTGGGGCCATTAGTAATCAACTATTTTTAAAAATCATTCTCGATCCCATTTCATTAGCTTGTTATGTATTTTATGACATTCTTTTAGTGGTTATAAATCCAAAGATGACAATAGGCTATTTCATTATTATGAATGAAGGGTAATTATTAAAAATTACCCTCTGGGATACATTAGAGAGCAGAAACAAAATAAGGAAACCTTATTTAAAAAGAAGTAGAACTGTTTTAATGAAGAACTTAGAGTTCTTGGTAAAGGTGATCTTTTCCAAGGTGAAGGAATGAAGATGTACAAATTGATCATCACAAAATCGTCACAGGAAATGAAGCACAGCATGGGGAATATAGTCAGGATTATTGGGTTCACTATGTGCGGTGCCAGGTCGGCGCCGGAAATATTGGGGGCCAACTTTGGAAAGTATATGATTGTCCAGCCACTGTGATGTACACCTGAAACTAATGCAAAATAATATTGAATGTAAACTGTAGTTAAAAATAAAATTTTAAAAAATGCCCGATATTATAAATCCCCATTCTAAAGTAAAGGTAGGACCAGAAAATGAGTATCGATTAATTACTGTACAGATGTCCAAAAAGATGATCTTTTCCTGCGCTGGTGAATATTGCTCCTTAGGAGCCTTTCATTTCTTTGTTTCCATAAACCAGCAACTCCTCAGCATTGCTAAGCTCTCAAAATGCCTCTCTATTTACCTTCTTGACATTCAGTTCTGGTTTGTTGCTCTGTAAAAATTCTAACAAGCAAAATATTCCCCAAATGGGATTTATCGAAATCATATGAAGAAAAAAATTATTATTTAATTTGCCACAGTTTGGATATTTTTCTCTTCCCTTTTCAGATGGGCAAAGCACATCGCCGAGAAAAATGGCTACCTGGGCCACGTCATTCGGAAAGGCCTCAATGCCTACCTGGAGGGCTCATGGTAAGCTCGGACCCCACATTACCGAGAACTTCCTCAGCACCTGCCTTTCATCTGTCACTGTCGTCTTATGAGATGGAGCCTAAAATGCAACCAAAAAAGCAATTTGCAGGGAAATCACAGCCCCTCAGTAATACTATGCAGAGTATCACTGACTGATTGGCTGTTGATTGAAAAACATAGCAATCCCATGTTTAATTAGACACAAAAATTAGTTCTCTAGGGGGAGCATCCACATTCATCCAGTTGAGAGACACAAGCGTGTGTTGACTTCTTTTTCCTTCAAGTTTGTTTCTCTCGGTTTTAGAGTCTAAACACAACATGGGGGGTCTTAGCCGACCCTCTGCTTCTCAGTGGCAGGTCATGGAAGGTCCAGGATTTTCACCGTGTTTGTAGGAAAAGAATTAGGGCTCAGACCGCATCCTTCCACAGATACTTTGCTGCATCTTCTGTGGCCAGGAGCCCGGGATTGCAGGAAGTCACACGGCCTCTCATGTCACAGCCAGACGCCCCTTTCTCACCTCCTCCTGACGGGGTTACCAGACCTCATGCTGTGCTCTGCTGCGTGAAGAACACCCCGTGACAGCACATGTGCCGACTCCAGACTCCCCCCATTTGCTGATCTTCGGTTTTACTAAAAGGGCACGCCTCTCCAGACTCTACCAGACCTCACCATTTTATCTCCTGTCAGTTCTAGCACTTCATCTCACTTGTCCCTTGGGCTATGTTTTTTAGGCTGGTTTATTGCCTAAATGATCTGGATATTTCAGTAATAACTACAAAGGCTATGCAAATCAGCACATATTTCTTCGGAACACTGCCTCAAAGACATTAGACCAGACATAACATCGATCATACTCTGATCAGAACCTTAATTAAAAAATTTAAATGTAAGTCCAAAAGAAAGCCGTTTTCCCTTTGGTCCATGGGTGCCCATGTAACCCACAGAGAGTGTTTCAGTGATGGAGAGTCCGAAGTTAGATAATGCAGAAGAAGGGAGGCCAGTGGGAAAAAGCACCAAATAAAAATGTTTATTATTAACATCCTATGAAAGTTTATTATCCGTGGCCTCCCTTTGCACAACAGGAAAGAAATTCTTTAGGAAATTATTATTTTCCAATTGATATACCTTACAATTTTGGTGCTGTTTTCTCTTGCAAATCTCCCAAATTTGACTTTAACTATTCTGTTCTTACCCCCTAAACTTCCCATCCTTTGCTCCTCACAAGCTTCTCAGGGGGAACTAAACATTCAGACATCAAGGTGTTTACATGTGGGGCTTTCCCAAAGGGAGCGCACATCTGTAAACAGCCCCAACACACTCACAGACGGGCACCAAGATGTCTGATACTTTTTTTTTCATAAAGAGAGGATCTGTCAGTAGTGTAGCTGTGCTGCCTCCTTTTGAATTTAACATCACTTTAACATTTAAAGATGAATTAAGATTTCTGTGGCCTGCTGTCTTTCTTAGAATATTCAAACATAAGAGACTTTTTTTTTGGTGGAGAGGATGGGGGAATTAACTGGGTCCTCACTGTTGGTGAGTTTGGAGTTTGGATTCAGTTCCTCAGACTTGACTGCGTCCCTCCCATTCGGGCACCTTGCCATGAGCTGGGGGGATGTCAGCAAGGAAGGCGGGGTTGCTAGCTGCCTCCTGTCTTCCTCGTGCTGAACTCCCTGCAGTGTCTCACGTTCCTCCTTCTGTCTGACCTTCTGGCCTTTGCCCTTGCCCAGAAGTCTTGCCTAACTTCTTACCTGTGTTGGCGCTTCCATGGGCCCTGATTGTGCCTTACTTGTTGATTGCCCTATGAATTGTATCCCAGTGGCCAGCACCTAGTACACTGGGAAGTGCTCAGAAACTACTGAGTAAATGAACTAAGGCAAATAGAACAAACGTCACGTAAGCGCCCTGAACGGTATATAAAGAACATTGGGGATCCTGAGGGGGAAAGATGCTATCTGGGTTGGGGGACTTAGGCCAGCCTCCATGATGGGGCCTTGAGGGATGGGTGGAATGTCCACTTTGCCACGCAGGGGTCAGCATTTCTTGTGAAGGGAGTCACAGGAACAAAAGCAAAGAGAGAGGAAAATTCTGGGAGTATCTAGAAGATTTCAGGCCACCCAATTTACCTTGAGGGTAAGAATTGTAAAAGGGAGTAATACATGATGAGACCAAAGAGGTGCTACCTTCTGGAGTTTTGAGTGAAAGGTTCTGTCTTTTTACTTAATTTGTGGGGCAGCAGGGAGCCATTGATAGCTTTGGGAGAGGGTAGTGATGTGCCAGATCTGGGCTCTGAGATGCTTGACCGAACAACTGAATAATGATGGAGAGCCTGGGAGAATCCAAGGAAAAGGAGCTGAGCGTTTGGGTCGGGAAAGTGGCACGAGCCAGTTGAGTTGTTTTTCTCTTCTTTTGTCGTGTAGTGGTTGATAACATCTGAAACAATGTACATAAGTTCCAGAGCATGACAGTAAAATGAACGCCTGTAGACCTACCACCCCACTTAAGGAACTGTCGGAGCCCCTGCACTGTGTCCCTCCCAGATTAAACCCACCCGCACCCCCAGGACCCAGAAGTACCCATGATCCTGAATCCTGCTCTTTATAGTTCTTGCTATTTGTAGGTATGTTCCTAAACAATAGACTTGGTTTGGCTTGTTTCTGAGTTTTCTATTAGTAGAATATTATTATACATAAATCTTCAGCTGAGGCTTGTCACTTAACGTTACGTGTCTGCGATTCATATATTTGGACGCATGTCCCTGTAGGTCGTTCATTTTCACTGCTGTCATATACCACGTTTTACTTACCAGTTCTCATATTAACACCTATTTGTGTTGTTACCCAGTTTTTTTTAACCTCACCTGAGGATATGTCTATTGATTTCAGGAAGAAGGAAAGGGGGGGAGAGAGGGAGAAACATCGCTGTGGGAGAGAAACATCCACCAGTTGCCTCCTGTTACCGCCTCGACTGGGGATCAAACCCACAACCTTTTTAGTGTGTGGGGTGACACTCCGACCACCCAAGCCCCCTGGCCAAGGCCCCATTTTTTATGTGTTTAAGAACAATGTGGCCATGAACGTTTTTATGTGTATCCTGACCCTCAGAGGAATAGTTCCTTGAGAATATAAACTTAGGAGTAGGGTCACATGTTAGATTCTGCAAGATAATGCCAGTTGCACACTGGCGGGTGCGGTCAGTGGATTGAGCCCTGGCCTGAAAACGGAAAGGTTGCTGGTTCGATTCCCGGTCAGGGCACATGCCTGGGTTGTAGGCCAGGTCCCCGGTGGGGGGTGAGCAAGAAGCAACCAATCTGTGTTTCTCTTGCACATCTATGTTTCTTCCCCTCTCTCTGAAATGAAATAAAATCCTTTACATTAATTAATTAATTGATTTTGAAAAAAGATAATGCCGATTATTTTCCAAAATGATTTCACCAATGTAACCCCCCGCCAATCCTCTGTACATTTCTGTTCCTCCAGATCTTGCCAGTGTTGACACTGGTGCTAAACTATTGTTAGAGGTGAGTCTCAATGTGTAGTTGGGAAACTTTTGTCAAAACACGTTTGAGGCCGAGTGCTTTCATCTCTCGGAGCCCCAAACGTGCCCTGGGGGTTAAACAGGAACCGTAAGAGCGTAACCTCCCACAGCATCGCTTTTGGGGTACCATCCATTTTGCTGTCACAGAACTGAAGCACCCATCAATGTCCCCAGTCCATCCCCTTTCTCCATTTTTTGTGAGTGAATTTATTCTGGACGTTACTTTCAAATTACATGTGTCAGTTTGATGAGCACGTGCTTTTCTGTGTGGCTCCAGGACTTATATGGGATTGCTTCAAAGAGGAGCGTGTTTGAGGAAAGGGGCTTTTTGCCGTTCAGGCCTAACATGGAAGGTAACGTTGTCATGCCCGAGGCTGTCCGCAGACGCCAGGAGAGATCAGCTACGGAGAGGCCGGCTGTCAGGTTCCATTTCTCTCTGCCGGGGCCCTGCACATGCTTTATCTATTAACTGTGTGTTTTATTGTGCTTTATCTTAAATACACCTGAATACTTAACCCAGGACGTTTGCCTGACTGTGGTGGGCTGGAGGCGAGACAAGTGGGCCTGCTAAGTTCCAGCCAAGAGATTCACCTTTTGGTGAATGGAACAGGAGCCCTGAGTTCCACTGAGACCCCAGGATTGTTTTTCATCCTTCCAGTTTGAGCTGCTTCAGGCATTGTTAGGAAAGGAGCACAGAGAAAATAATTGTTTGAGAACCTGCTCAGAGGTAGTCAGATTCACGAGTCACAGCCAGCAGACCGAGAACTGGTGGTGAAGCATCGTTAGGAAAGCTCTGTAAGTGTGTGTGCGGACTTTGAAGTGGGAGGGCAGCAAATGTGCCTGCACCTCCTCCTTTCCTGTGAGTTTCCTCCTCTTTGCATCCCCCCACCCCCAGTAGAATCACTGTCAAGGGGACAGTTGCACTTGTCTGCACTGGAAATAAACTGGAAGCTTGGGTTGGCTTCCTCAACCTTGAAGAAACTTCTGGAAGGGCAGTACAGTTTTGTTTCTTGTTTGGGGGCTTCCTGCACATAGCAAATGCTAAGAAAATGATTGTCCCATGAATATGAGTGTAGCAATACCTGTAATTAACATGCTGGGAGGGAGGCTGAATGGGGACAGGGTTTCTGCATTGGTGGCGAGTCTCAGAAATCCTCATAGCCTGAGAAAGTCGGGTCTTCAGTGTTCAAACCCTCACCCATAGTTCACACTTCATTACATGAAAATAGATGGCGGTGGAATCAGAGTGCACCGGCCTCTGGTGATTGCTTCTGCAAGATGGAAGACAGAGGTGGATTTTTGCCCTGCACTTCTGTGACCATCGACGTTTGCAGACATCTCTTTTTGATGGATTGCCACGTTTCTTCAAGGGAAATGCATAAGGCTTCTATGAAATTTCCTCCCGGCTTATCCAGTAATTGGACAGCGAAAGCCTTTCTACAAAACCTCCACCACCACCAGAATAACTTCAGAGACCAGATTCTGGCTTTATGAAGTTTATCAGAGTGCCTCTGGTTTACAGGAGGGTCGATCTCGTACTCCCGACCCCAGCCGCAAACTCTAAGTCTGCCAGTACTTGACCGTTCGTTGTCTGAGGAAAACTCATCTTGTTGCATTTTAATAGCAGGAGTCACATTCCTCCCAGTCACAGCAGCAGAAGCAGCGAGCTTGATGTTTGGCCTTGGGCTGGCGAGCATACACCATCTCGTTCCCTCATTCATCCTTGGGGGAAACTGAGGCACCTATGCGTGCCTGAGTGTCTCAGAAGACACTTCAGGTTATAAGACCTTGGGAGCAGGACCCTGTTGCAGAACGATGCAGGCTTTGTGCTGTGCCTTCGCGTGTCCTCGGTCTGATGTGAGGATTCATGTCACCAAATGTGATGTTTGCAGTCCATGTGGGAAAATGCTCCTGGGTCTTTCACGGTTGTCTCGGCTGCAGTGAGGGCTTGTTAGCTGACGTGCCTATGCAGGCAAATCTCATGTCTTGTGTCTAGAATGAGTCACGGCTAATTGGTTGGGTGTCTTGGAGGCTAAGAATCAGCTCACTCAGCAGCCACATGGCCCGTGCCCTGCAGGATGTCAGACTGAAGGTCCACTGTTCTAATTTGACTCCCCGGTCACCTCCCTCTGTCCCCCAGGGATGGTCTGCCAGAAGCTGCTCTGGCCCTGTAGGAAAGGCGACTTCAGAATCTGCTTCCCTTACTCCTCCTCCCCCACCCATCCCCACATTCCTTAAAGCACTTCCTAGGTAGACCGAAAACTAAGGGGGAGTTCCTAATGTCAGCTAGTTTTGAAACAACTTTTTATGCTTAAAATAAATTTTTACTGATAAACTGGCTGCCACAAAGAAAAATGGAAAAAAATCAGACCAGTCCAAAGTAAAGAATAAAAATGACTTGCATTCTCACCACCTAGAAATAAGTATAGTTAGCATTTTGGTAGATGATTTTTGTGGATATATTTATCTGCATATGTGTGTATTCGGGTTTATTTCTGTTACACAAAAATGGAATTGCACTGGTTTTTATTCTGCCTTTTTTTTTTCACTGAATAGATAATTTTGCGTAGACATCTTTGCACAGTTTTGAATACTCTTCTGCACCATTTTTCATGGCCTCATCTGAAAGAGCCTACACCATGGGTTAATTTAAATAGTCACTGATTTTCAGATATTTAAGTTCTTATCCGTTTTTTAAAAAATTTTTTTTCACTCATAGAAAAAGCTCTGCCATAAATAAACTCTTGCCACAGACTCTGTGCACATCTCTGATTGTTTCTTTAGAATAAACCCTCACAGGGAGAACTGCTGGGCACGCGGTCTCTGCACCCTTAAGACTTCCCACACGGAACCACCGCATCCAGCAGCCCTCCCAGCAGCAGTGGTTGGAGGGTGTGCGTCTATCCACTCCCCGGGCTCTGGCCATTCCTGGTATTATGAGTCAAGTGCCATCCTTTCAACGGATGAGAAGTGGTCTCATTGTTTTGCAGCATTCGGTTACTAGTGGTGTCTAACGGTTACTTATTCAGATGTGTTTCGGGCCCTTGGAAACTGCCTCTCCTTTGCCAAACGTCTAATGCACCACAAAAGCTCAGCTTTAATAGAGCTTCTTCAGAATCCTAATTCCCATAAAGCCTTTCACAAAACAGAGGACTTGAAGGCATAGGACTTTTTTTTTTTTTTCTTTTTGAATACTGCTATCTCCTCTAAGAAGGATGGAAGCATTCGAGAACCCCGCTGACAAACCATTCAGCCAGTAGAGGTAGCTGTTGTATTAACTAGCTCCCAGCCTTATCTGCCAGTTCAGCCTTAAGGAAGAAAATAAATCAGTGCATGCAGTATTTTTAACAACAGCATTTTTAAAAAGTGTTTCAAAAACTCACGGTTTTGTGGTTTTTAAAAAACTGCTTATTTTGTATCCTTATGTTTGACTATCAAGTTGTCTGTGAATATTAGCAAAAGCCCCTATATGAAATTTATTATTAATCATCTATTTTTAGGCACGAAGCTTTGCTGTATTACGTTTTAGCTGCAGAAACTGGAATTGAAGTGTCACAGACAAATTTAGCACACATCTGTGAGGAGAGGCCCGTGAGTAAATGTATTCTTCTCAGAATAGAAGCTCTAAGGTTAAGGAGGGTGAATTGGGGTTTTAGGGAGGCAAAATTCACTTGGCCGAAATATTAATGAATTACCTTTTCCTCCCCCTTCTCCCTGTTAGGACCTGGCTGAGACGTACTTGGGTGTGAACTGCGTTTGGAGATACTATAATTTCTCTGTTTTCCAAATTGATGCTCCTTCATTTGGTACGTGTGGAAAAGCAGGTGCTGAATTAAAGCACCGGTGGCTTTTAATCTTCAGTGACAGGAAATATCTAACAACTTTGTGTGCAGTGTGGTGTTTCTAAACAATTAGGAGAGAGAGAGAGATCTCTGCTATTAAGATCGTGACTAAACTGCTCTCTGCCTCACGCTATGGATTTTTCCTGGCCCATTTGTCTGCTGTAGCCTCTACCCGCCACATCTTGAAGAGTCAGTGAGACTCCAAGGAAGCTATTATGGAAGATTCCCTGAGCCAATGCCCTTCAGCTCTCAGATAGGTTCCCTGTCTTCTTCTGCTCTGTAGGGTAGGGGGCTACCCCCAGGAACCACAGTTCCCAGACTCCTTTGCCCCGGGGCTCCTGATCAGTTCAGTCAACTGGAGGTTCTGGTGGGAGATTGCAGGATGGGGGCAGTGGAGGGCTCAGGTATTTCTGTCCTTCTCTCTCTGCTTCGCTCTGTCTCTGGCAGTGGTGCATTCCCATGGTCCCAGCTCCCACCTGGGCCCCACACTCTGTGGGCCCCGCTGAGCCTTGGCCCAGGGAGGTCAGTAGCTTCCTGCATTGCCTATACCTGGGGTGCTGTTTGCCTTTTCAGCTCTTCCAACACCCTGGGGAGCACTTCCCAGTTGGAAAAATCCCTGTTTTGGACTACCTGACATAGACTCTATTTTTCTGAATGAACACTGAGCAATACATACGTTCTTTTTTTTTTTTAAAAAATGTTATTTATGTTATTGTTTTAGAGAAGGGAGGGAGAAAGAGAGGGAGAGAAACATTGATGTATGAAAGAAACATTAATCAGTTGCTTCTCACACACCCCCAGCTGGGAACCTAGCCCGCAACCCAGGCGTGTGGCCCAACCAGGAATCGAACTGGTGACCTTTTGGTTGGTGGGATGATGCCCAACCCACTGAGGCACACCAGTCAGGGCAATACCTAAATTCTTCAACAAAACTTTTTCCTCAAAAGAAAAAAAAAAAACAAACATGGCTTAAGCAGAGTAAAGAAGTACGCTTTAGCCATCAAATCTAGGCAGCAAAATTTGAGGTGTGGAACAAAGTGTCCCCCGCCCCCCCAAATCCTTGGCTGATTGGGCTGCCATCCTCCCAAATAGATCTATTCCAGAGAGCTACCGAGCAAAGCAAGAAAATGTATCTGGAAATGTGGATACTCAGCAGAAAAGCCTTTTTTTTCCCCTACTGACACATGAAAAACTAAAGACCCCAAAGATGTTCTGTATTAGGTTCTGGCAGGAAAACCTCTCAGTCATGGGAATGAGCCCATCATCTCAACTGTCATTCTGAAATAAAACCACTTGACAAGTGCATCTGTGCCTTTTGTCCTGCAGCATATTTGAAAATGGGAGACCTTTACTACTATGGCCACTCAAACCAGTCGCAAGACCTGGAACTGTCCGTACAGATGTACGCCCAAGCGGCGCTGGATGGAGACTCACAGGTAAGCAGCAACAGCATGAACAACGGACAGGAGTTCTTGGTGATGCCCATTTGTGAGGTCGCATGCAAGGTCGCATGCCCTGAGTTCTCTCCAGCTCTTTGTGTGCTTCCCAGGTTACGAAGTCCTTTCTCATCCATTTTCACAAGCCCCTCACCAAGACCCTGTAAGGGCGCTAATCAGGATGGTGAGCCTTTACCGAGCTCCTACTCCATTTCCCCCACCGTTGTCACAGCAGTCTTGTGCGGGTGGGGACTATGATGCCTAGTTTATAGGAGAGGATACCACGACTCTGACAAGGTGACACATTGCTCAAGGCCAAACAATCAGGTAGCAGGTGAAGCAGCCAGAGCTTCTGACTCCAAGCCCAGATTCCATCAAACAAACTCACCAGGTAGAAACTCAGGAAATTGGAGGTGTGGTCAAAAGCAAAGTGGTCTGTTTGTATAGTGGACCCCACACTTCGGCCATAGGACTTCACTCTCGATGACTTTTTTTTTTAACTTATTTTGGAATATTTTAAGATCTATAGGAAAATAGCAGAAAGAGTCCAAGAGAGTTGCTGTATACCCTTTGTCCAGCTTCCCCTAATGTGAATATCTTGCATGGGCACAATTAATTCCATTATCAAACTACGAGGTCCACGTTGGTTCAGTGCCATGAAGCACGCTTCCGGCTTTGTTTGGATTTCACTAGTTTTCCCACTCAAGGCCTTTCTCCCTCCCAGGGTCCCACATTGCATTTAGTTTTCATATTTCCTCAGTCTTCTTCATGAAACAGTTCCTCAGTTCTTTCCTTGCTTTTCATGACCTTGACACTTTTGGAGAATATTAAGTAGCCAGGTGTTCTGCAGAGTGTCCCTCGATGTGGGTCTGGCTTCTGTTTTCTCACAAACAGATTGAGATGATGCATTTGGGGCAAGCAGAGCACAAAAGTGATGTGTCCTCACTGTATCCGTGCAGGCGTGCTTGGTGTCTCACTGCTGGTGAGCTTGGTCGCGGGCACTCGGTTAAGGCGCTTTCTGCTGGGTTTCTCCCCTGAAAAGCTAATGTTTTTCTCGTTCTATTTAGAGAGATCATGGGGAGAGGGTTTGCAACTACACAAATATCTTACTTCTCCTCAAACTGCTGCCACTAATTTCAGGACCCTTTGATAGATCTTGCAACAATTAGTGCACTAATGATGAGTCTCTGTTTCTCTCATTTCCTGGATGTTCGCTAATCCCAACTCTCTCGTGATCTCAGGGCCGTTTTCACAGTGGAAGCTGGAATAGCTGTTACTCTTAAAGGCAACAGGTTTTGGTGTCACACTTTGGGATTTGACTGCAGAGCAAATATTGGAAACTTGTCCCTGTCTTGGTCTTTTTTTTTTTCCCAGGAGGTCCTATATCAGAGTGGTTCTTTACCTGGGTTAAAGTCCCTTATCCGTATCACTTCAGAGCTATTTGTACATGGCAAGTCACTAAATCACTGAGTCTTCCTATTCTTTGTGAACTGGGAACAGTAATAACATCAACCTCTGCGTTTATGAGATGTTTGATGTAGAAGCACTGAGCCCAGCAATGGCCGTGATCTATCTATTCTATTATTATTTCTTCTGCAATGCAATATGAATTGCTGCTGAAGGGATTTGCCGTAGAGTCCAACTTTCTTAGATGATGTCTGTTGATACTAAAAATTAGGTCCGGGCCATTTTTTTTTTCAATCTGATTTTTATCATTTGGAAAAATAATGTTATAAAAACATTAAAAGATAATTTTAAAAGAAAACAAAACATTCCATGGCAGAGGCTTTTCTTCCTTCGTGTCTGCAGGTTCCCTTCAGCCCCTGACATAGGCGGGCACACCTCTGCAGCGTGAACTCCCGTGCACACACGGGAGCTCTTTTCACATATCGTAGGGATCTGTGCAATTTAGTGCACACTTGATGTAATTGTTGCTCTTAACTGCTTCCCATATTCTGTCACACTAATAGACTGTAATGTATTAAGCTTTATCTTATTTGGTAGCATTTATTATTTGTTTGCTAATTTTATAATTAATTTGGCACATTTACTCAGTCCTGCATGTCTGAGACACTGCCTAGTAGTGGGATCATAAGATTAAAAAATAGACAGTAGTCTTGCCTTCATGAGATTATAGCCCATAAAGGAAGATGAGGAGGTCTTTTCCTATTGGGTTGTAATTACAGCTAGTGCTATATTTACATTTTCATGTTTCCATCTTTTAGCTCCATTTGAGTAATTTCTTTATAATCCAAGGGATAGTATTACTAAGTCAAGGGCAATCTAAATGGTTTTATGGCTACCTAATAATAGTTTATTGCTGATGTGCTTTCTGAAAGTGTTTTCCAATTAATGCATCACCCAGCAGTGGTCACATGTAGGAGGGTAACTGAAATCTTGTCTGCACTTGTCTGCATTGGTCACTTGGTTTTGCTAATTGAATAATTTGAAATTGATACTTCTTTGTTGTTTTGAATTGTATTTACTTGATTTCTAGTCGGGAGGGACATTTTTTGCATATACTTGTCTATGATAATTTACTCCTCATATTTTAGGTGAATTTTCTATTCTTGTTCTTTGCCTGTTGTTAATCTATTAGAGTTCTGATACTTTAAAAATTTAAATGACAATTTTTTTATACATTTGCCTAGTAAATAATGAACCTTAAGCTGTTACATTGCATGTAAATATTCCCCTCGTCTATTTTCTCATTTATTTTAATCTTTCTACTTTTCCATCTTTCAGAGATGAAGGTCTCTGAAGCATTTAAATTTTTACGTGGTACTTGTTTTCTTGTGATAAGTTTTAAGAGCACCTTCTTTTCAAAGCTTGGAGAAATATTCTATTTTCTGCATGTATGGGCATCTTAAAGATACTAAACGCTTCCATTTATTTGGCGGTTATTTGGCAGCATGATGGAGGTTAAAACTGAAGACTCTGGACCCTGTCTGCTCTTTTCCAGCTGTGTGACCCGGGGCAAATTCCTTAAACTTTCTGTTCCTCAGTTTCTTCATCTATACCATGAGGAGGATAGCAGTACCTATCTCAATTTGTTGTTATGAATATTCAATGAATATGTACAAACCACAGCGATGCCTCATGTAGAGTGAACACTCAGAAGATACTGGCTGCTGTTATTTTTATCATGATTATTGCACAGGATGGTTGTGAGGGCCCTGGTGTGTTCGCCCAGGCAGATGCTGGCTTCCACTGAGATTGCTGTCAGTGGCAACCGCACAGAAAGACCAAAAGGGAGACCGTGTCATTAGAATATGACCCTGAACTCCTTGAAGGGCCACAGTCCAATGAAATTTGTAAAGCCCTAATGCTAAGTAAGGTCATCTTTTATTTCTTGGTCTGGCCACATGCTCAACTCGTGATGGACAATGAGCCCCCTCCAGGTAGTATCACTGTAGCTCCCACCCTTGATGAAAAAGCTGTACCGTCAGGCTCCTCGCTGCCTTATATTATTGGACCTGCACAGCCTGATGAGGCAGACCCTACCTCTGAGGGTCAAGAACAAGGTCTGTAAAGGACGTGAGGAAACGCACCAGAGTGAAGGTCTGTGCCAAGAAGAATCGTGAGTCTCCTCATGTTAGAATGTCAGTCATCCATAGCACCTCCAGCCACAAAAACATTTTGTTAGATTTCTGACATACTGGTGGTGACCCAAAGCAGAGTCATCAGTGATGGACATGGCCTTCAACTCAGCGTTCTGGTTCTGTTGGTGACCCAGGGCACGTTTTCCAGCAAGTTCTGTCTTGGAGAGTGAGCAGGAAAGGACAGATCCGCCGGTTGACTGGCTTCTGAGCAGATGGGACCCAGCTTCTTCTGAAAGCCTCCTGGTTCTCCTGCAAATAAATGTCTCAGATGCACATATTTAGGGAAACAATTCATCAGTGAAGATGACAAAGCCATCTGGCCCTAGGGACTGAAAAAAATATCTAGAGGTTGTGAAAGTTTACATTCTGATGAAGGGTATGCATCTGGGTTTATTGTAAGAAGCTGATGAGGATGGTTTGTGGCTTGTTTTCAGGGATTTTTTAACCTGGCCCTGCTGATTGAGGAAGGTGCTCTAATCCCACATCACATTTTGGATTTCTTGGAAATTGACCCAACTATCCATTCGAATAACATCTCCATCCTCCAGGAACTGTACGAAAGGTGAGTTCAGAGCCTCTTTAACACTGCAGTCTGGAGGCTCTTGGCATCTTGGTTAAAGTGAGCCTGACTTTTATTTTGTAACATCACTTATTATAAAAAGGGCTCAGGGTTTGTTCCGATTGGAGAGCACTGAGCTGGACCCAAACTTACTTCCGTTTTCTAGTTTCTGAGGCTTAAGGTACAAAATGAACTTGATCTGAAGTTAAGGTGCCGACCAAGGTTTTCCAGCAGCGTGGGAAAAATAATGCATCTGATTAGACTGTGCTTTTCTGCAAGACAGGGAGGCATCTGACGTCTGGACTCTGGACAGACACCTGGACAGAGCTGTTGCTCTGCCAGCTCCCATGCCTCATGGACCTCCTTGACCTGTTGGCTTTTTATTGAGGACAGAAGTGACCTTCTCCTGAAATGTCCGGCAGGGTCCTAGAATGTCAGGGCAGGCCCGAACCCCTGAGAGCTGGCTTTCTCCCCTTGTCTCTCATCTCACATGTGTCCCATTGTCCCCAAGCTGAGGATCTGATAATGCTGGGATGTCACAGCATGAGTGATGGCAACAAGGTCCGCTGACATGTCAGGGCGCCCTGTGCTTCGTGTCTGCAGGTGCTGGAGCCACAGCAGCGAGGAGTCCCTCAGCCCCTGTGCCCTGGCCTGGCTCTACCTGCACGTCCGGCTCATCTGGGGTGCTGTCCTGCACTCTGCTATGGTAGGTGCCGTCTCCCGCGAGCCCCCCGCCCTGAGGTCCCAGGCCCTGTTCGTCATCTGACATGTGCTTCCGGTGTTTGCAGACCTGCTTCCTGGGGACCTTCCTGCTGTCTGTGCTGATCGCCTGGACCCTGCAGTATTTCCAGTCCGTCTCAGGTAGAGATTCCTGCAAGGCCAGGGCAATACAAAAACATGCCAGTTCTTTCCCTCACCAGAAAAATTACCTTCTCCCTCCTTGTGCCCTGGGTCATGCTGTTTCCCTGGTTCAGGTGGCCATGGGGCAGGGGTCCTCCTTGGGCTGTATTGTAATATCTGGCTGATGGAAGCCCCTAATAACTTGAATCAAAATACCCGGCCACACGGATTCAGAGGGAGGGTCTGAGGAGGAATATAAAGTGAACATGTATTTTAGTGTGGTTTCCAGTAGCTACTGTTATTTTTCTGTGCTAATGTGGGGCAGTAGCTAAGGGGGTGGGCACCTCCATCACTTCTATTTGGGCTGAGAGTGCAGGCTTGGTTGCTTATTAGCTGTGTGTTTCTGGCGAGTCAGTTCACCTTTCCGATCCTCCAATTTCTTATCAGTTAAGTGAGGTTATAATAATAGCTACTTTCCAGGGATGTTAAAAAGGGTCAGTGAAAAAAACAATACACGTGAGACCAAATGACAACTGCAGTTAAATCTTACCTGTCCTATGTATTTGGCACGTAAAACCCTCTTGGTAAACATTAGCTGTTGCATTTACCTCCCCCGTTAGACCGTAAGTGGAGTCAGAGGGAGGCCTTCATTTGCCATCTCACACTTAGTAGGTGCTCGAATTTGCAAATGTGTCTCACAGAGGATTATGATTTGCCACCGTCTGGGATGGCTGTGAAGGGACATACGCACACACGCGGACCAACAGGGACCTTTGCAAAGGGATCCGTAGGACCAGACATGGCATTTGAGCGTTCGCGCAGCCGTTATTTGTGGCGCAGATAAGGAAAAGCGAAAGGGACACATTTCCCCACTCAGATTCTCTGGTGAGATGCCACTGTTATGAGAGACTGATATGAGTCACCCCTATGACTCACCCCAGGAGGCTGACAGAGGCCGGTCCAGGCCTGAGGCCCCGCGGTACACGCCAGCTTATAAATTTCCCTCATGCAAATTCTGCCCCATCCCAAAACGTGTTGCCAGGTATAGCCCGTTTATTTTGCATCTTGTCAGTGTTTTCCATTTCAAATTATCTTTGTCATTTTTACTCTGTAGAAATATTGTTACGATTATTACAAATGCAATTCCGTCGGAGGAGCCAAAAATTGTCTGTATGATTTCATGCCAGCTGGTAGCCATGAAAATTCATGGGCTGGTGGAATTGCTTTCATCAGAAGTCGGCTCTTTTTCCCTCCCCGGGCCTTCATTGTCAGTCCGTCCGCATTCTCATCTCCCCACCCCTCCTGCCCTTTCGTCTGCTTCCCCTTCCCCGTGTGTATCCTTTGCTCCTTCACACGTTGTCTTCATGGTTTTCAAACTCTTTCATCTGCTGCTTCCTTAACATCCCTCCCTCTCTGTTAACCGGCCTCAGAGAAGTCTGCCTGGGACCTTAAAAATAATTTAATTCTCTGAAGCACTCAGGCCAAAGGGATGACATGGCCTGCCCCATAATCACAAAATAAAGCCCAGGAAGGGATGTAGGGCAGCGGAATTTTAAACGTCTCCCGACTTGCCATACTTGAAAATGCTCATTATCATCCGTCTCGAACCTATTCTGTTATCTCCTTACATAAGGAATACTTTGCAGCACATTTTTGGTGCCCTGACATGAATGATAATTAACCTGCCCACATACATTATTTTCTAAAGACTGCTCTAACATCAACATAAAGAAGTAAAAAGAAACTAATTATCATAAGATAATATCTTTTTCAATATGTAAATTATAGCCCGTGCTTAATTTTCACGTGCTCATGAATCACCCGGGTGCTTGTTAAATGCAGATTCGGATGCAGCAGGCCCGAGTGGGCCCTGAGACTCACCAGCTCTGACAAGCTTTCGGATGCTGTCCATTCCGCTGTGCCATGGACCACACTTTGAGTCATAAGGGCCTAGAACTTAAAAAAAAAAAAGAAAAAGTCCCCACATACTTACCTATTTCCAAAATGTGCCCCACCGTGGTGCCTGCCAGCCCTGTTAGAACTACTGTCGAGGAAAAATATGTATAAATTATTTGCATATTTTTCAGGTTGCCAACCTAAGTGCAGAGTGGTCAGTGACTTTGGTGTAAGAGGGTGCTATTCCATCAGCAGTGGGGCGGTGAGGTGGGGGTGATAGAAGCCAGAGAGCGAAGAGAAGCCACTGCAAGGAGCCCCTCAGAGGCAAAGGTTTTGCCTCTGGCGTCACCCCGATGAGCGGGTGCAAGGCCCCCTGACCTGCCCACGGGAGGGGGAAGGTGTAGCACATGCTGGTGGCAGCCACGGCAGCGAGAAGCAAGCACAACATGGAAACGGGACCGGATGGGAGAGTCAGGAGTCCACCTCAGGTGGCTTTGTGGAAGGATAGTGGGATTAGGGATCCTTGTCATTTTGTGATTTGGATTTTTTCAGTCAGTTGTTAGTAAAAAACGAAGAGATTTGTGGTCAAACCTTTGCATCGAGGTGTCCATCCATTTTGCGTTCAGCTCCAACTACCTTCCTTACCCCCACCCCACGCCGAGTTCTGTGCCCTGTGGTGGACAGTTGGCACCCCGGGGCACATAAGGTGGCGATGCATTTGCCACGTTAAGTTGGCTTGCATTCGGGAGGCTGGCAGTGCAGGACCGTAGCCAACAGCACAGGCTTGGAGTCAGGCTGCCATGATGCTGGCCCTGCCACCAGCTGTGTGACCTTGGGCAGGGAGCCTGTCTGTGCCTCGGTTTCCCCTTCTGTAAAACAGCAGAAGTAGTACAGCCACCTCCTGTGGTAGTTGTGAGAACCAAATAAGACAACAGAGGTAAAGTGCTTAGAACTCCGCACATGTTAGCGCCTGAGCAGTGACGTCCTAAGGGCATGTCAAGTGCAGTGACGGCTGCTGACAGCGGGTAGCACCTGCACCAAAATACTGGCTCAGTTTACCTCCGTGACAGACGCAACGGCCAGAGCCTGGCATGGGTTTCTATGTTGGTAGACTCTGTCTAACACATAAAATGCTCTTTAAGGCATCTAAACAAAAATTTCAACGAATCTACCAAGGCACCAAAAAAAGTCCCCAAGAAATACGGCACACCTTTTTATTTCCTTTCGGGGAACTTATTTTTGACTCTGAGCTTCCCTTGCACCAGGCTGCTCAGTGCTTCTCGAGGCTGATGCCACCCAGGGGAGCGAGTGCCAAGGCCCCTGGGTCTCAGGTGGCACTGGGAACACTCACGTGTCCCAGGTCCGATAGAGGAACACACACAGTGTCCCAGAGCCTTCTCTGTCCCTCCAGGCCTGTTGGCTTTGCAGTTTCCGGGTCGCCTAGGAGTCCCATCATCTTTGCCAAAGCTGAGCCCCGTTTACCTTCTTTCTCCCAATATTCCCTTCTCAGATGGCTGGCGCCCAAGGTGAGCGCTTCGCTGACGGTACAACCCACCGCCAGGCTCAGCCACTTTCCCAGACTCCAATAAAGCTCCTTTTCCTGCTCCAGTGCATCGCTAAAGCACTCTCCCTCTCCCCTGCCTGCCAGGGACGCCAAGCGTAATTGCCTTAATGGATTCAGGCTTTCAAAAAAACAAAACAAAGCAAAAATCCCCAAAGCAAAGTATGTCTAAAAACGTCTCCATTTCTGCTCTGCCACAAATCTCCCGAGACCAAAAAAGAAAAACCACGGAGCCTGGCTGGCCACCTGAAGGAAGGTAAAGGGAGGAGGAGGGGAGGAAATGTAAATGACCATTTCAAAGAAAGAGTCCTGCCCGCCCGCTATTAGTGTTCAGTTTGTGTCTAAACAGAATACACAGTATGGGGCGAGATCTGCAGACCTACCAGCTCCTCAGTATGACAAGTAACCTTTGAAACCCATGCCGGCCTACTCAAAACATTCATAATTTAAGCCAACTCATCCTTTCTGTCTAAGTGGTTAGCCTCGTGTAAGAGGAAAATGATGTAAACGAGATCCATTAAACCTTTTCCTGTCCTCTACACTTCTAATTAATGAGGTTTCTGCTGAAATCACAGTAAAATGTCAGGAAACTTGGTGCTCACAGAAGAAGCAGGAGCCTTCTTCTGGGAAAGAAGTCAGAGCCAGTTCCCGGTGGGGTTTCGCCCCCCTCCTGTTTCACCGGTCCCTGCTCCATTGGGAGGCCCAGGGAAGCAGGCTAGATCTCACTCATAGCAGGCGACTTCAGGGGCTTCCCCCTGCACGCGCTTTGAGCTCCCCTTTGCAAACATTCGCTGTCTCAGGATCCGTCTAGCATATTCCCTCGTGTCCTCCTTCCCCGCGTGCTCTCGTCCGGCTTGGCTGCCTGGCGAGCAGATGTTTCTGCTGCAGTGGCCGCAGCAGGGGTTGGTGAGTGTGTTCTGTAACGGGCCAGGGAACAAGCAGTTGGGGTTTCAAGGGCCATCTCTGTCATAGTGACTCAACCCTCCTTGTAGCACGAAAGTGGCATCGAGGATACGTGGAAACACGTGGTACGGCTGGTGGCCAAGAATACTTCTCGTGTGTTTCTCACCTGTCATGAAATACTACTACTCTTTAGATTTTTGTCCAGTCGCTTAAAAATGTATAAACCGTTCTTAAACTGTGAGCTGTACGAACACAGGCAGAGAGCCGCACTTGGCCCCGGGGGCTGGTCTGCCCACCCACGTGACTCAGGGCCAGCGCTTGCCGATTCTCACTAATGTACAGAAAATGGCCTCCCAGGCGGCAAGTGATTGGAAAATCACTTCTATTTGGCCCTGGAATAGACTCTCTTAAGTTTTTAAAACAACATGCCCATTTTCCTCGTAATCTTGATTCGAGTCCAGTAATCAAATTAGTGCACACCCCAGGTGAGCACAGAAAAAGACACCACTTGAAAATCACGCAGGCTGTCGGGGGCCCAGCCACGGGCGGGGAGGGCACCTTCTCACGGGGGGTAACACCGAGCTCACTGGACGAACGTCGAGCGTTCTCCTTGTGCTCTGACAAGGAGATTTAAACATGGCGGTGCTGATTATGCATTCCTTCTCCATTTACACAGTGGCACTTTTTTGTTTTAATCAGAAAACTGATTGCTGATTTATCTTGTTACCATGGTGATTTAAACATTTCCCTAAGCTTGCAAAGGAAAAATCGAATGCCTTAGTACTTCATTAACTTAACTCCTGAGAGCTCATCAGAAAGATCAGTTTGAGGGCCCGAGGGTCCAAGACCCTCTCAGCTGAGCCGCCCTGTTCACAGGCGAGGAAACCAAGGCCTATGAGATGCAAGCATTTTAGAAATGAAATGTGTGCTGTTCAGTATCTGCCCCAAAGTAATGTACTGGTGGTAGATGTGTGAGGCTGGGCCAGCCGGGGTCTCTGGACTCCAGCAGGTGGTCTTTGTGCCACCTCACTGGGCCTTCTGCTCCCTGCCACAGTTAGGTCAGCTGCCAGGATGGTGGCTTTAACCTAGAAATGTCACGTCATTATGTAGGTAACACCCTTGGCCCCCCACCCCTCCACTGTCCTGTTCTTTTAGAACAGTCCCTGGATTCACAAGATCTCCTGGAGGTACGGAAAGGGATTCCTAGGAGGGTTCTTTACATATCCTGAGAAGCCAGGGGCTTCGGAGCCCATTGTTGAATTTCTTAGACCAGCCCCGTGGAGATGATTGCACGTATGTGGAGTTGCAGCTTTGGACAGGTGTTTCTGGAAGTCAGATGGCCAACATGTAGTGACATCTTCTAAAACTCAATACAATTCTGGGTGGACATTTGAGAGCCTTTAAAAATGGTCCCACCGACAAAACTGTGAGACTCCAGGGTTCCTGAGCTTAATTAAGATCACTGATTAAAAGCAAACCAGCAAATTGTTTGCCCAAACGATGGCCATTGTGCTCGGCATACATCACCTGTCCCTGCAAACCACCGCCCTCATTTTACAGGTGAAGAAACCACAGCTCAGAGTGTTTATGTAGCTTGCTCAGGATGGCTCTGCTGGTAAAAACATCAGCCGTTCGATTCCTGGTCTTTCTGGCTTCAACATTTCTGCTGTTTTCCTAGGCTACTGGGGCCCGAAAGAAAAGTGTTGACATCCCAGAAACAAAGGCACCAGCTCTGTCCTCGAGCCTGCAAGCCGTGCACCTGAAATTAATAAACCCTAACGCATTTCCACAGTAAAGCAGATCACTAGTAGTAACGACTAACATCTGCTGAGTGCCTTTGCCTGCCAGGCACTGTTCTAAGCACTTCAGGTCCATTAGTTTATTTAAGCCTAACAGCTCAACAGGGTATAGATACTTTCACTTTCCCCGTATTTTAGAAGGAGAGTGGGAAACTTGTCCAAGGTCACGTAACTGGTCAAGGGCAGAGCAAGCAGGTTCCGGAGCCCACAGTCTTGCAAGCAGGACCCCTCTTGGCCTCGGTGCTGTTGGTGTTTGCAGTAGGTGTTTGGAGCTGGAGCCTGCTTTGCTGTGGGGAGCCGTCCCACGCAGCGTAGAATGCTTAGCGGGCCCTCAGCCTCTGCCTGCTCTGTGCCAATAGCACCCACCCTCCAGTGTGACCAGCAAAAATGTCTCCTGACATTGGTCACTGTCCCCTGGAAGGTAAAATGGCTCCCATCTGAAAAACCAGTGACCTAAACTATAAACTTTATAAGCCTCCCTAACATTTATGGAGGTCCAACTCTGCACCTGAAGGTAAATTGATAAGTAATTAAATCTAGTAATTACATTTTCCAGAACTTATACACATTTACTTAAATAAAATAATTAAGCCAAACTTGGTACATTGTCCAAATGGAATAATAATGTAGATAAAACCAACACTCCTTTCTGATTGATTGGTATAATTCATAGCTTGCATTGCATCCACGCCATGGGGGGAAAAATAGACACGACCACAAGAACCATCAACCAGAGACTGTTTTGTTTTTAATTAAAATAGATACCTGGAGGTCACAGCCTCAATGTTAGAACTTAGAGTCCCATGGTGTTAGAACCAGCAGAGAGTTTCATATGTCTGCTCCAGTCTGTCATTGTAGAAAGGGGACACCAAAGTCTGCAGAACTTAGATAGTGGGTCCAATGTCAGCTAGCTAGTTGGTTTCAGGGCCACCAACTCAGGAGCCTCTGGCCTGGCTTGCTGCGGCCTAGGCGTGGTGGTGTGCCCTGCGTGCCCTGTTGTGAGTCCTCACCGCCTGTTGTGTGTGTGTCTCTGCAGCCAACGGTTTCAACCTGACGCCAGCCGGGCCCTCCCCAGGCCCCACCGCTCCCACTGCAAGTCCAGCTGTGACTCCAGCTGCAGACGCCTCTGCTCAGGACCAGCCCCCCGTCACCAGTAACCCAGAGTCACGCAGGTGATGTGTGCGCTCCAGGTGTCTCCCAGGAGAGAGACTCCTTTCAACAGGTGGCATTGGAAAGCAGAGGCCACGCATTGTACTACTGATAAACCCCTTGGACGTCTTGTCAGGTGGATGTGACATTTGCACTTGGTGTCTTTTTTAATCAAATGACAGAGTACCCAGAGCAGACAGTGGTACTAAAGGCATTCAAGCAAATACAGGGGACAGCCTGGTCATAGGGGTGCGTCGGGAGGTTAGCACGTCGGCGACGACCATTCCTGGCGATTCCGTGGGTCAGAAGTCACAGTTGGCCCTGCATTGTATCCCACTCCCTGTGGACGGGACACGTTTTCAGAATCTTAGCCCCTTGTTCATTCCCTTTCATTCAGTAGCAGAAAAACGGTGACTTTTCTACAGGTTAGGTAATGTTCCGGTACATGTGTTTGCCACAGCCTGGCCGAGGTTATGGCTGGGAGTACAGGGAAGGTGGTGGCTTTGTAAATTGGTTTACATTTTTCTCCTCGGATTTTTCTAGGGTCGTAGTGCTTCTGAATCATTCAATGACATGGTTGGACGTCAGTTACTATTCAATTGCAATCCATAAAATAACATTTAGAAAATTCTTAGTATTTAAGTATAGCCTTCTCCATGAATTGCCCATTAGGATAGACTGGCAGCGATGGGACATGCAGGAAAAAAGCCTTTAGTTCCCAGGCACCCCCACCCTTCATGCCTGCCTGAGTCCCTGTAGGGGTGTGTGTGAGTGTGCGAGTGTGTGTGTGTGTGTGTGTGTGTGTGTGTGTGTGTGAGGAAGGGCACATTGTGCACTGGATGCTGCTACGGTAGTGAATAAATTGGTGTTGCAATATTGTGGGTCCAAACTACTCTTTGCACTACTTTATTTACAGTAGTAAATAAAAATTATTTTTATACCATTGATTCCCAGGAAGTGGCTTTTTTTCTTTTTCATAGTTGCTGTTGTCGTTGTATAAAGTCCTCAGGTTTATTCATCCCCCTCAGGAAGCAAAAAATAAATAAAGTAAGTTCTCCTTGAGAAAGCTCAGGATGTGATCATGTGATGTTTGCACAGGATCAGACATTGCTTCAGGGTTTCTGGCTGCTCTGAGGCTGAATTCTTATGAATTCTGGGTTCCGTTTGCAGCCTACCCACCTTCTCCTATGTGTACTCTTGTTTTATAGCAAAGCATATCCTTCCTGCTTGTGTACAAGCCAGACTTTGGAGCTCTGGATTCAGATTCTGGTTCTGTAACCTCCTAGCTCAGTAACCCTGGGTGGGTGATTAACCCTCTCTGAGCCTCAGATTATTGTTTTATAAAACAGGGGTAATAAAATTTATCTCCTGGGCTTTTCATGGGGCTTGCATGAGATTATGGATGCAAAACTTCCAGGTCAGTGTCCTGAATATGATTCGTTGTTCTCATGAGAAAGAAGCCTGAGGGGCCAGACAAGGGCCCTCTGATCTGCCTAGACCCCCTCTTCATGGAACACACACCCACTCCTCAGTTTCTGGGACCACAGCCTGCCAGCAGCCACAGCTACAGCCTCCATGGGAATCGCCATTGCCGTGGGGGCCTGCCCAAGGTTGCATCCTTGCCGGAGCAGCGCAGGGCCAGTGGCTTGCTGATGTAGGTAGGGTAGGCTTTCTCAATCTACGCACTATTGGGACTCGATGGCTCCCTGCTGTGGGGGACTGTCTCCTGCATGGCAGCAGCAGCAGCCCTGGTCTCTACCCACTAGATGTCAGTAGTGTACCCCCCCCACATCAGTATCTCCAAACATGGCCAAATGTTCCTGGGGGCAGGGGGCAAAATCACACCCCCCTTCACTTGAGAAAGACCCATGCACAAAAAGCAAAGGCCCCATCTGTCACTTTGAAACAGCCCAGGAGGGCCATCTCAGCCCCAGAATTCCACCTGGTGGCTACCCCACTGTGGCTCCATGGCTTCCTCTGCCCAATTCCGCCTTTTTCGTTTTCACACAGGACTTCCTGGCACTGTTCACCCATGAGTCTGTGAGTCTGCCGGGGCTGCCGTAACAAGGTGCCACGAGCTGGGGGGCTTCGCCAGCAATGTATTTCCCCACAGGTTTGGCCTCGAGCTCTAAGATCAAGGTGTCGGCAGAGTTGGTTCCTTCCGAGGTCTCCCTCCTTGACGTGTTAGGTGGCCGTCTTCTTTCCGCATCTGCACACGGTCTTGCTCCTTAGGTGCGTGTCTGTGTCCTAATTGCCTCCTTGCGTAAGGATGCCGGTCATATTGGATGAAGGCTCACCCTAGTGACCTCTTTTTACCTTAGTTGTCTCTTTGAAGGCCCTGTCTCCAAATGCAATACATTTTGAGACACTGGGAGTTAGGGCTTCGACATGTGACTGCGGGGAGGACACATCTCAGTTTGGAACAGCAACGTGAACACAATGGGGAGCTGGTGCAGGTTCCGAAGGTGGGCTCGTGGAGCAGTCCGGGTCTGAGACGGTTGTCCGATGGTGCTCACCTCCGAGAGCAGACGGCCCAGCTCCCGCGGGATATGTGTGGGGGCGGGGGGACGTTCACCACGGTTCTGTGTAAAAGAACAAGGAGAGGGGCGGACTGGGTGTCCCTCGGTAGGAGAAGGGATGTGGTAGGTGAATGTAATGGAAAACAAGGCACTAGTCAAAAAGGAAGGAGCTAGACATGAGCAGCAACATCAAAGGATGTTAAAAAACATATATTAATAAAGAGCAAGAACATGAATGAGATCTCTATCTCAATACTATTTATTTAAACTTAAAAAACCCAGACAACATTATATACATCCAATAGCTCTTGACCTTGGCAATATGCACCCTCCGTCGTAGGGTCTGTCTGTCCTACACACTGTTGGATGCTTCTTAGAGCCCCCTCGGCCTCCCTACTAGATGCTGGAAGCATGCCCTCGGTTGTGACAACTCACAGTCTCTCCAAACATTCCCAAATGTCCTCTGGTGGGGTGAGGGTGGGGGGAATTGCCCTGGTTGGGACCCGCTGGTGTAATTTTATATCAAATGTATCAGAGTGGCTTGTTCAGTTTTCAGAGGCAGGGATGAGGAGAGGGACTGTGAGGAAAGGAAAAATATTACCATATAAAAAGGTCAGGGTCTCGCCCACACTGGTGATGATGGGCCATGAACTGAGGAGGGTGATGGAGCCCAGCTCCCTGTCCAATGCTGTTTTTAATTCATTGGCACATTCAGATACCCTTATTCTTCTCTCAGCCTCCTGCAGCACGAATCTGGCTCACTGTGAGTTAGGTAATCGCTGAATCAATGAGTTTCACTGTCTGCCTCATGAAGTTCAAGTTCTCTGCTATTGGTTGGTGAGTTTCCCCTGCAGTCCCACAAATGACCAGCCCGAGCCGATCAATAAATGCGGAACCCAAGCTTGGAAGCGGTATCCTAGCAGAGTTGTGAGAACCAGGGGCTGAGGGAGGTAGGGGCTGCACCCCACACTGAGAACCATCTAGACTCTTCATAGACCCTCATCCAGAGGGGATTTCCTCATAAGCAGATGAACCGTGGGGAATTGGGCTTCAGTAAGAGTGTGACCTCAGTTGTGTTCTCAGGATATTGAAATCTGAGACATTAGATATATATTTCACTTAGTTTTCACAATACCACTGCAAGTAAGATACACATTTTTTCCATTTTACACATGAATAAACTGTTGTTGCAAGCATACCAAGTAACAAGCAATTGTACAATCTCAGTGGCACACAGCCACAAGCATGTATGTCTTGCTCAGGCACCTGTGGGTTGGCTGTGGTTCAGCTGATCTAGGCTGGCCTCAGCGGGGCTTAATTCCAGGCTGTGAGTTGGGTCCAGGCAAGCTTTTCATTCTTCTGGGGTCAGCAGGCAACTGGGGAGTCTTCATATGGAATGGGATCCAGATATGCAACCCTGAAATACGCCATTTCAGCATAAGGGTTATTGAGAATCAGCAGATGCAGGAAGAACTCTCTGCATCCACCTATTCTTCCCAGAGCAGGACATAAATTTCCTTTTGTGAAAGTGTTCCTTCCTCTGCTGTATCAGGAAGAGGAGAGCAATTCTTGTCACCAGAGATGGAGAGTAGGCACCGAGATGGTCTGCGTAAACCAACTTTGCTAAATTAACCCTCATCTTCCATTAGTGTTCCCATACATTTCCTAGTGACGGCCCCACAATTCATCATTCCTCAAATCTCAAACGCCCTTCCTTTGTAAAAACGGTGCAGAAGCTCCTGAGTCTGATTACTTTGAGTTTCTCTCTTTCTGTAAAATTCTCTACATGTAATATATTAATAAAAAGGATGCCTTTTCTCCTGTTAATCCATCTTCTGTTAGTTGAATTCACAGGCCCCCATTTACTGAACATAAAAGGGTAGAGGAGAAATTTATCTTCCCCAACAATCTCATGGCAAAAGGCTCAAAATCCAACTGCACAAGCATTTTTGAAACCTTCACCCACATGAACTCTGCTCGTGTCCCATTGGTTAAAGCAAGTCACAAGGGTAAAGCCACATGGGAAGGAAAGCATTTCCTCCTACGGAGGAGGAATGGGGGTTGCTTTCAACTTCCATCGGTCAGACACCAAAGCGGTAGCTCCTTCTTGCAACATTAGCGTACCACCCTTCCTATGAATCCCCCGGCTCTCTGTCTTTAGTTCAGTGAAGGAATTAATTATAGGCCTTTGTCTTGTTCTGGTATTTATTCTTTGGTATTGACTTTGTGTCCCGAATGGCACTGTTGAGTTCCTAAGGTGGGGGCCCTTCTAGTCACGCAGGGCCCTGCACAATGCTGGTACAGAGGGAGCACACTAAGTAATTGCACAGGACCGGTCAGGCGTATTTGTCCTACCAAGAAGCTGGCAACAAGTGCTGCTGGGGACGTCCTGGCAGATTCCATGAAACAGACCCACAAAGCTGAGCTGGTAACTGTGGCCCACAGCGCTGGAAGAATCTGACAGTTCTTTATTATGTCGGAGGATCTTCCACCGGCAGGTACAGCTGGATTAATCAGCACTGTATCCTCCTTGCAGACTTAATTAGCAGCTCTTGTCAAAACTCAGCTTCTTCTTAAAACCAAACATAAAACACATACACAAAACCTGTTCCAAGCTTATATCCTTATTTTCAGTTGTGCTTCATCCAGGCATGAGACCAGAAGCTCACTTTCCTTTTTTTTATATTGAGCTATAATTGGCATACAACATTGCGAAGTCTGGGGTGTACACTGTGTGGTTTGATGATACGCTTAGAGTGTATATCGCTCTATGATTACGACCATAGTGTTAGCCAACCCGTCCATCACAGCATATAATTACCACTTCCTTTTTGTGGAAAGAGGTGGTAATTTAAGATCTAGTCTCTTGCTCTGGCCAGGTAGCTGCATTGGTTAGAGTGTCATCTCGATACACCAGGGTTGTGGGTTCGATCCCCAGTCAAGGGCATGTACAGGAATCAACCCATGAATGCTACATGTGGCTGGCTCTGTTCACTACCTCGGGCAGGGGCTGATGTGACCACTCAGCTTCAGATGTTTGGATTTCCAACAAAAGTCCCAGTAACTCTGGCCTGTAGGGGTGAAGCTCCATTGCAGAGCTGGGCACCTGGCGCCCTGCTGCTGGCCTGCCTCCTGGGGCCCCTTGGTGCCCAGACACACCTCCACCTGTTTCTCTCACCCTGAAGGGTGTAAAGAGGAGCAGTGATGAGGAAAAGTGTAGATCTTTCTGGAGTCCTCGCAACCCTAGAGGTTCTGAACCTAGAACTGAATGTAGAACTTCCAGAAACTGGAATGAAAACTAATAGCTCCCGATTAGAACCACCTCTGAAAAATCTCTTGAGAAACATTTCAGGGGAAGGAGAGAGATGAAACTGATTCTTGAAATCATCAATTTTAAATAAGGGAGTCCAGCGATTCTCAAACCAGCA